CCCATGCAGATAGAGCCACCGCATCCCCTTGGGGTGCAGGAGGGGCTGATAAAAGGCTGGTGCTGCAGGAATGGGCTGGGCAGGGAATCCCACTGTCAGGGGGATCCCAGCTTTCCCCTGTCCCATGGAGCCCCTCCGTTCATGGGCTGGGGACAGGCAGCAGTTGGCTCGGGGACACAGTGCCACAGGGCAGCCATCCCTGGACCTGCTGCCCGTGCCTCTGCATGTGCTGCCTTTCCTTGGGGAAGGAGATTTGGAAAATTGCTTGGGGAATGGCACAGCTGGGGGATCTCCATCAGGGTCCTGGCACTGCAAGGGGCTATGGGGTCTCTGTCCAGCCTGGCGGGGGAAGAGTCTGGATTCCATGTCCTTGCCTGAGGGGCTCCAGGGCTGATGGGGCCTTTGTTGCTTTGTCCCAGGAGTGTGACCTGCAGGAATGTGGCCTGTGGGAAGCACCATCCGCGGCTGGGCTGGGCTGGGCCGGGCTGGTGGCCACCCCTCTGAGTCACATCATCCCCTCCTCCACCTTCGGTGCCACGCAGGGATGGAGCTGCTGCTCCCAGCTGCCACCATGGGCCAGGGTCCTGCTGGGGACTGGTGCAAGGGCCAGACTGACCTTTGCTCTGCTAGGGACTGTCCCTGCTCCTGGAATGTCCCCGTGCCTCTGAGGAGTGGGCAGCACTGGGGCATGACAGTGCCAGTAGTCCCAGGGTGCTGGGTGGGAGCACTTCACCAATCCTGAAACACCCCCTGGATCCTGATGCAGGACAGCCTGGGTGCCCCCAAACTACATTTGGGCAGTGGGGATGGCACAAAGGCACATCCCACCCTGGAGTGGGACATCACACCGACCATCCACCACATTCTGGTGCCTGTACAGAGCCCCTCCCAGTGTCCCATCCCCTCCATCTGCCCCTGGGACATTGCCCCTAAGCACAGGGGCAAGTGTTAATTCCATTCCTAGCTCTGAGAAGGAAATCAGGAGAAACTCTTGGCCAGGTCCACCCTGTCACAACACCCCAGCCCTGCTTGTCTGGGGAAACTGAGGCTTGGCATGCTGCAGGGTGGTTTAGGAAAGGTTGTGCCATGAGTCAGCAGAGCTGGGAATGAGACCCAGCATCCCTGTGCTGGCACCTTCCAGCCCGGTGACGTACCAGTGTCTGCCCCAAGACCCCCACCCGCATCCTCCTTCAGCTCCTTCCACCTCCCTTTGAGGTTTTCTCAGGGAATTTATGGCTGCTGGCTGCAGGGGGGGTTATTTTTAGATGCTATAAAAAGCAGCCGGAGTTGCTTTCGCTCCGTTCCCGCTTGGCGCCTCGGGATTATTCACGCTCTGTGGAGCAGCACCTGCCTGTGGGCTTGGCACCGGCTGCTGCTTGACCCCACAGCCCTCGCCAGGCCGTCCCCTTGTCTGGTGACCCCGTTTTGGCCAGGGTGTCCCAGCAGCAGGACGGTATCCCCCCAGGCACCCTGATCCCCATTCCTGGCCCAGGCTGGAGGCGACGCCTGTGGCTCCACTGGCAGTGCCTGAATTTGCTGAGTGTGTCTGAGCTGGTCTAGACAAGAGCTTAAGGGGGGAGGGGGTGGGAGAAGGGGAGTCCTGCTGGCCCCCACACCGGTGGGCACAACCATTTGTTCTACTGACCACTTCTTGCCAGCACTGTCTCTGGACGGTGGGTAAATTCCCAAGGAATCACATTTTCCTTTCCTGAGCTGTGCCCATCGGTAGGACACTGAAGGGGGGTGATGTCCTGGGGTGTGAGAAGCCCCAGGGTTTTCTGCCCTCTCCTCTAAGCCTGTCCTTTGTGTCACACAGATTGATGAGATGCCAGAAGCTGCAGTCAAATCCTCCTCCAATAAGTACCAAGTCTTCTTCTTCGGGACCCATGAAACGTGAGTGGGAGCTGGGGCTTACGAGATGGGCAGTTCCAGTGAGTTTGGGAAAGGTGAGATCCCCCCCTGCTCCCACTCCTCACTGTTTTCCTCTGGCACAGGGCATTCCTGGGGCCCAAAGATCTCTTCCCCTATGAGGAATGCAAGGAGAAGTTTGGAAAACCCAACAAGCGGAAAGGGTTCAGCGAAGGTTTGTGGGAGATTGAGAACACCCCCACGGTCAAAGCCTCCGGTTACCAGGTGTGTGATGAGCTGGGGGGCCTCCATCCCACCCCCCCACCCCATTCCTCCTTCCTGGGTGCCCTCTGTGACTCCCCCTGTTCCCACAGCCCACCCAGAAGAAGAGCTGCCCTGAGGCGGCTGAGCGGGAGCCGGAGGGAGATGGGGAGAAGAAGGGCAATGCAGAGGGCAGCAGTGATGAGGAGGGGAAGCTGGTGATCGACGAGCAGTCCAAGGAGAAGAACGAGAAAGCCGGGATCAAGAGAAAAGCAGAAGATGCTTTGGAGGTACTGGGTAGGCTGCTGGGAATGGGGATGTGGGTGACAGGGGGCTGGGCTGACCTGAGCTGCCCCCACCCAGGACTCCCCCAAACGCCCCAAGGATGCAGAGGGGCAGGAAGGGGACAAGAAGGTGGATAACGAAGAGGCCCCCAAGGAGGAGCCCAAAGCCAACCCAGGTGACGGGGAGAAGAACAGTGACGCCGCCGACGCACCAGACGCCAACGAAGCCAAGCAGGAGGGCAAGGAGGAGATCAGAGACCACAAGGAGAGGTGAGGGTGGTGCGGTGACCCCTGTCCCCACAGCCTCCAGCCTTGGGGGCATCCCTGGCACCCCAGGGTCTGACCAAGAACCTGGGTCTCTTCTTGGCCCCCACAGCCTGTAGTGGCTTCCCCGGCGAGCTGATCCTTCCCTGCCGGGTCCTGGGTGCTGCCCCGTGTCGCCCACGCCGGCTCGTCGTGTCCGGAGCTCCGGACGAGAGAAACCACCCCAAAATGAAATTTCAAAAGGAAAAAAAAAGAAAAAAAAAACTACAAAAAAAAAGAAAGGAATGCAGAGCAGCCCGGTACTGACCCCGAGCGCTCCGTGCCTGCCCTGCTGTGGGCGCACGCTTTGTATTAGTGATTCCTTGGGGCTGAGCAGTTGATTTGAAATAAAAGCAAATCTTGCCTTTTTAAAGCACCTGTGGGCCCTGGGTTAGCCCCTGGACCCCCCTGCACGGGTGGTTTTGGGACCCTTTGGGCTGCCCAGAGAGGTGGGGCTGCCAGAGCCCCTCTGGCAGCTCTGGGGTGGGGGGAGTGAGCACATGAATCAGAGGGAGAGATGGGGCTGGGGCAGGGAACGAACCAGGGGAAGGTTTTGGAGGGGAGCTAAAATAGTAACTACAGAATCATAGAAAGCCCTGGAAGGGACACAGAAGGAACAAATCCTACTCCTGACCCTGCACACAACACCTCAAAATTCCAGCATCCAGCATTGTCTAAACTCTCCTTGACCTTTAGGATCATGAAATCATGGAATATCCTGAGCTGGAAGGGACCCACAGGGATCATCGAGCCCTGGCCTTGCACAGGACACCCCAAAATGCCCCCCAATTCCAACATCCTAGGGTTTCCAAGCACTCCTATGCTGAAATAGTGGAATATCCTGAGCAGGGAGGAATGCGTCAGGATAAGCGAGTCCAGCTCCAGGGCCCTGCACAGAATCATATCCTGTACCTGAGGGCCTTGTCCAAATGCTGCTTGAGCTGTGGCAGGCTTGGGGCCGTGTCCATTCTCTGGGCACGCCGTTCCAAACACACAACCCAGCGAGGAGAGGCCAAACCGGGGGAATTTGGCCGTGCCTGGCTCCCTGCAGCGGGGACAGCGGACACCCTCCCCTGCCCCTGGACCAGCCCCGGGGACAGAGAGGGCGGCAGCAGAAAATGGAGCCGTGGCCGGGCGCCAGCCCCGTCAGGACTACAGCTCCCGGCAGCCGCTCACCGTGGGCCGGAGCGCCGCGGGAGCTGCGGCGGGGCTGAGGGAACGGAGGGGCGGGGGATACCGGGGGCGGCGGGACTACGGCCCCCAGCGTGCCCCGCGGCGGGACTACACCTCCCGGCGTGCCCCGCGGGAGGACTACGCCTCCCGGCGGGCCTTGCGCCGGGCGCTGCCTCAGCAGCGCTCCCAGGCGGAGCAGCGCGCCACGGCAGCGCCGCGTCCGGGCCTGCGCTGCGCCGGGCCACGCCCACCCCGCGCTTGGCGGGCGCCCCTCAGGTGAGCGGGGTCGGGGTCTGGGATTGCTGTGGGTGCCAGGGGGTTCAGCGGGGTCCTTTCGGGGATATTGGAGGGGTTTTCCGGGGTTTGGGGCTCTTTGGGGGCGGCCGGAGCTCTGCCGGACCGCCCGGGTGTCGTTTCCGACGGCGTGGAAGGGTTGTGCTCTGCAGGACCCCTGAGTTCCCTTTGGCTAGTGGTGGGGCTCTGCGGGTTCTCTTTGGGAGTGAGGGAGGGCTTTGCGATATCCATGGGACCCTTCGGGGGTGGAGGAGGCTTTGCCGATGTCCGTATATGCTCTTCAGGGGAATGGAGTCTATGGGACCTCTGGGTTCTCTTTGGCGGGGTGGTCTCCGGGTCTGTGGGACGCCCGTGTTCCCCTTTAGGGAAAGGGAAGATGTCTGTGTGACTCCTTGGTTCTCTTCGGGGAGTGAGGGACTCTGCGGGTCCCGGTTGGGAGTGGAGGGTGCTTTGCAGGACACCTGGGTTCCCTTTGGGTGGGGGGTTATCCCGTGGGAGCCCTGGGTCCCTTCATGGCTGAGGGATGGCTCTGCCAGTACCTGCATCCCCTTTTTGGGGGTGTGGGGATCTGCTGGGGACTGGGTCCCCTTTAAGGTGGTGAGGGTCTGCGGGATCCCTGGGTGCCTTTTGCGGGGGGCTGCTCTGCCAGACGCTTTGATACCTCTCGGGGGGGCTCTTTCAGGGCCTGGATGGGTGGGGGTGACTCCCCTTTGGTGGTGGGTGGGCTCTGCCGGACCCCTGCATCTCGCCCAGCCCCGAACACACATGACCCTGGGGAGCATGAGGGGTGTCCGCAGGGGACTCAGTGGCCCCCCTGGCCTCCCAGTCCCCAGCACCATGCGGCTCTCGGCCCTGCTGAGCGCGGCACGGCCGCGGCTGCCCCCGGGCTACCGGCACGGCATGTGGCCCCCCGAGTCCATGGCCGCCCGGCTCCGCAACCCCCCGGGGCAGCGCCGCCGCAAGGTCTTCGTGGAACCCATCGCCAAGGACGACTGGAAGGTGTTCAAGGGTGACACGGTGAGGCTCCTTCTCCCCAGGTTCCCCCCTGCCTGGCAGCTGGGCTGGGGGGGGTCCCACCTCTGCCCCTCTCTCCACCGCAGGTCCAGGTCCTGGTCGGGAAGGACGCGGGGAAGCAGGGAATGGTCACCCAAGTGGTGCAAGCTCGCAACTGGGTGGCGGTGGAAGGACTGAACACGGTGAGGCTGGACCAGGGAGGGTTGGAGGAGGCTGTGGGGAGCCCGTGGCCTCCCCAGCCTTTCAGTGACCCCCGTGCCCTTGCAGCACTATCGCTACGTCAACCGCACAGCCAAGTACTCCGGGACCTACATCGCCAGCGAGGCACCCCTGCTGCTCAGCCAGATCTCCCTGGTGGACCCTGAGGACCGGTAAAGGCCTGGGTGGTGCTGAGGGGACTCCAGCGCTGCTCCCCACCTCAGTCCTGCCCCCTGCCAACGCCGTGTGCCCGCAGGAAGCCGACAGAGGTGGAGTGGCGGTACACGGAGGAGGGCGAGCGTGTCCGCGTGTCACTGCGCAGCGGCCGCATCCTGCCCGTGCCCCCGCAGCCACGCGAGGATGGCATCGTCCCTGAGCAGTGGATCGGTGAGTGGGATGGCAGCAGAGGCTGGGGGGATGTGGCAGGGGACACAGAGGGTCATTGCTGTCCCCTCACCCACGCAGATGGCCCCAAGGACACGTCGGAGGAAGATGCGCTGGCAAAGACGTACCGGCCATCCCTGAAGACCTTTGAGGAGGAGATCATGGATGCCATGGGGATCGTGGAGACACGCCGGGCCAAGAAATCCTACTGGTATTAACTGGGGGAGCCAGAAGCCCCCTGAGCCGGGCTCTGCAATAAACACCCCCCCTTGATTTTCTGTTTGTAACATGCAGTGCTTTTGGTGCATCACTGGCTCACTCACAGCCAGTCCTGGACCATAAAAATCCTGAGTTTATTGTGGTCTGTGCCCAGGGCTGTGGGGGCTCTGCCCTTCCCTGGGGGATTCCGCTTCCCCCAGATCCTCATCCTCATTGCTGTGCCTGTCCTCACTGCTGTCCCTGTCTTCTCTGTCCTTGTCTAGCACGGCCAGCACTGTGGCCAGTGGTGTCCGTGCAGCAACCAGCACCAGGTTCCGTGGGGAGAACTGGGGATTGAAGAGGGGCACAAGGGCACAGTGGAAACCTGGGAAAAAGGGAAAGGAGAGTCAGGGGAGAGCGGAGAGAGGGGTCCAGGGAGAGAGGAAACAGAGGAGGGGGTGGCAGCTCCACCCACACCCACCTTGCTCCCGGAGGTAGAGCAGACGGTCGAGCAGGATGAGGGTCTCCACGACAGGTGCCAGAAGCTGCCCCAGGGTGCAGAATGCCACCACCTTGTGCTGCTGCTCCAGCATGGCCCCCACAGCCTCCGAGTCCAGTGGGATCCTCGCTGGGTCCAGTCCCACAAGGGGCAGCCCCAGGTGGGCGTATCTGTCATGAAAGGAGGCAGGAGAGTCCCAGATAGGACTCCCCCATCCCCAAACTCATGAGAAGGATCCCAGAAGGGAGTCCTCCCCCTCTCCCCAATCTCAATGGAGGACCAGGAGGGAACACAGGAGGTTGACCCGACTGCCCACACTCATGAACAGGGTCCCAAAAGGAGGCTCCCCCTCCCCAAACTCACTGCAGGGCCAGAAGGGGACACAATGGTGTCCCTACCCCCTAAACTCACACGGGGAGTTCCATAAAAGGGTCCTCCCTCCCCAAACTCAAAGGGGGCTAGGAGACATCCCAGAATGGGTTCCTCTGTCCCCAAACTCAGAGCCAGCAGATGTCCCAGAAAAGGGTCCCACCTCCCCAGACTCACTGGGGACCACCAGGGGATGCAGAAGGGGTTCCCACTGCCCAAACTCACTGGGGGAAGCTGAGGGCATGTGCCTTCCTGCCTGGCTGCAGGCCCAGGTGCCTCTTGCTGGGGTCGGCGGTGCAGATGAGGCTCTCGAGCACGGCACGGTAGCAGTGGGCCCGCAGGTGGGGGCTGCCCCCCCGCAGCCGCCCCTCAAACTCCTCCAGTGCATGGCACGCGGCCTCCCGTGCCCGGTAGGACAGCTGGTGGCCCGGCAGTGCAGCCACTGAGGCACTCAGGGGGTAGCCCAGGGGGCATCCGGGGGGCTGCGGGGCGGTTGACAGCTTCATGTAGCAGCAGCCCACCAAGGCCACGGCAGCCACAGCAGGGCTGCGGGTGAAGTGGCACAGCAGGGCCGGGCTGAGGTCCCCGCAGGCGTGAAGCCCCGTGACCAGCACCTGCCCCCCGTCCTCAGAGCCTCCCGGGCCCCCCAGTGGGTTCCGGGCAGCGGGGCCAGGTGCTGGGGGGTTGGGGGGCAGCAGGAACTCCCCCCAGGGAGCTGCGGGGTCCAGGCGCCCAGCCACGTGCTGTGGGGCCCGGGGGGTGAGGGGGTGCTGGGGGGGCCTCTTGTGTCCCAGCCCCTTCGTTTTTCCCAGCTCCCGCAGCAGCTCCTGGTCAAAGCGCTCAGCCAGGCCCACCAGGCGGCCATCGCTGTCCACTGCAGTGACCGACAGGCCCAGGCCAAAGGCCAGGAACCGGGAAAGGTGGCCCTGTGGGGGGACACAAGCTCAGCTCGGGTGCGGGGGATCCCCTGAGACCCCTCCGTGTCCCTCTGCTCTTACCTGGCCTGCTCCAATATCCACCACACGCTCGCAGCCGGTGGCCTGGCTCAGCCCCTGCAGCAGCTATGGGGAAGGGGGGCTGTCAGGGGGCTGGGGTGAGCTGGGAGGTCTCGGGGTTGGGAGGGGCACCCACCTTGCTCAGGCGCTGGATCTCGTGCTGCTTTTTGGGCTTGACGTGGCGGCGGAGCAGCGGGTGCAGGTGGGAGCTCTGGCATGGGGGGCGCGGGGACCCTCCTGGGCACCCCCGAGGGAAGGCAAGGGCCCGGGCAGCAGCGGCAAATGCCAGGAGGGACAGGGGCCAGGCAGCCCCTGGGCCCCCCTGGCCCCTCAGGAGCCCGGCCAGCTGCGCAGGAGTGGCACTGGCCAGGGCGGGCTGCCAGGCTGGGGGCAGCTGTGCCCACAGACCCTCGGTGAAGAAATCCTGCAGGGAGCGGGGTCAGCGTGAGGAACACAGCCCAGGGTCATAGCCCGGGGGTCACAGCCCGGGGACAGCTTTGGGACACTCACAATGATGAAGGCGTCGAGCAGGGGCCGGTACAGCGTCAGGAGGTGGATGATGTCGGCGGCTCGGCGCTGCTCCGGGGACTGCTCCAGGTGCTGCTGCAGGTGTGGGGCGGCTGCCATGGCAGCTCCTGGGGCGGCACGGGGACATCAGCCCTGCCACTCTGACGTCACCTGGGACATGAGCTCTGGCACTCTCACATCACCCCCCAGGTCTCACCCCTTCCCCGGCTCTGCCCATCCCATTCAGCATCCATACGACGTCATCAGGCAGTGACGTCAGTCGATGACGCGATAACCCCCTCTTGCTATGACGTCATGCAGCTGTGACACCACCACCCCCCACACCGAGACACCCCCCGGAGCCACGACATCACCCAGGGGCATCGCTCACCCTCGAGCACCCGTGACGTCACCGGGCCGTCCGGGACACCGGGCATGTCGCCGATGCCCCGTGACGTCGCTTTGACGTCACCAGTCATGGAGCCGCCGTGGCCCCGCGCGCGCGCCCCTCAGCGCCCGGCGCCGCCGAGTTCCCGCCACGGCGCGCGTAGATGACGTCACTGCCGGTACCGGGCCGACCGCGTGTCTCCCGGGCATTTCCGGTTCCGGGGCGCAGAGGTGCAGGGGGTGGGACTGAGGGTCTCCCGGGGCCGGTGCCGGTGCCGGGAGTCCTGGGTGTCGGGAATCCCCGGTACCGAGTGGCCCCTCCGCTGAGCCGCCTCTCCGCACCGTAGCGGGCCTGGCCTGCTCCCGCCATGGACGATTTGGTGCTCAACGTGGACTTCACCGCCCCCGAGCACCGCCCGAAGAAGGAGCCGGGGAACCTAAAGCACCAGCGCTTCGTGCGGCGGCGGCGAGAGTTGGAGCGCCGGGGGGTCCTGCGGCAGAAGCAGCTCCCGGCGACACTGGGCAGACCCCTGCGGGCCCCAGGACGGGGGACCGGGGGGACCGGGGGCGGCCCGAGGAAGCCACGCTCGGGCCAGCCCAGGTCGTGCCCCAAAGAGAACGGCCATGCCGCCGCCGCCCCCCGATGCCCCGCGGTCTCCCGGAACGGCCCCAGTAGGACTGATGCTTCCGCTAAGACCAAGGGGAAGAGTCGGGGGACGGCTCGGGGCTCTGCCAGCACTGTCGGAGACTCCCCAGCATCCCAGAACGACTCTAGTGGAACTGGTGATCCCGCTAAGACCAAAGGGAAGGGTCGGGGGGCACCTCGGGGCACCTCCAAGACCGACGGTGCCCCGCCGGCGCCCTCCAAGCTGGTGGCCCTGGACTGTGAGATGGTGGGCACGGGGCCCGGCGGGCGCACGAGCGCCCTGGCCCGGTGCAGCATCGTCACCTACGAGGGTGATGTCGTGTACGATCAGTACGTGCGGCCCGAGGCGCCCATCGTGGATTACCGGACCCGCTGGAGCGGGATCCGCCCGCGGCACATGGCCAACGCCGTGCCCTTCCGCAGGGCACAGCGGGAGGTGCGGGGATCTCCGGGAATGGGGTGGGGGCTGCAGCCGTGGGAGATGCAGAACCGGGGCTGGGGGATGTGAGGCTGGGCTCTGCAGCTCAGGGGCTGGGGCGGGGGGACATGAGGTGCAGTGCAGGGGTGGGAGGGAGTGGCTGCAGGGTGAGTAATGGAGGGTGAGGAGGTAGGTGGTGAGCTGCAGGGCTTGAATACGGGGCTCAGAGCTGGGTTTGTGGGCTGCAGGTGAGGGGCTGCAAGGCCTGGCTCTGCATCTCCTGGGCTGGGGATGCTGGGCCAGGGGAAGGGTTTGTGGGGCTGAGGGTGCAGGGCTGGATTCGTGGTCTGGAGCAGGGAGTGAACGGTTGCAGGGCCACGGGGTGGGGGCACAGGGTCGAGCTCTGCAGCTCAGTGGCTGTGTGGAGGTGCAGAGCTGCCATGTCCCCACCTGCCCTGTGGGGCAACAGGGATTGACCCCACGCTGCACTGCTCCCATTCGGCCCCACAGCTCTGCCTCATGGGGCTGCCCCATTCTTGGGGGGCAGAAACCTCCCATGGAGCATGGAAGGTGCTGCTGGGGGTCTCAACCTCCTCCTCTTTTGCAGGTGCTGCGGGTCCTTGCTGGGAAGGTCGTGGTCGGCCATGCCATCCACAACGACTTCAAGGCGCTCCATTACTCCCACCCCAAAGCTCTCACCCGGGACACGTCCCAGATCCCCCTGCTGAACCGCCGTGGTGGCTTCCCAGAGAACGTGTCCATCTCCCTGAAGCGCCTCACCAAAGCACTGCTGAACCAGGACATCCAGGTACCGTGGCCAGGATGTGGGAACCCCCTGTACCATGCCAGGGAGACAGAGAGGAGTGAAGGCCATCCCTGGGAGAAGATCCAAGGCACTCTGAGTTCAGCCATTGCTGCCAGTCCTGGAGCAACGCAGCCCCGTGCCTCAGTTTCCCTTTCCCTGGAAAGCAGCCTGGGGGAGGGGGGGAACCCTCAGCTCAACCTCTGCAGTCTTGAGGGGCTTTTTCCTGCTCTTTTCCCCTTAATATCTATGCACACCCCACAGCACTGCCTGCACCTCCCCAGGTTTTTCTGTATCCCTAAATCTGCCTATATTTCCCTAAGCTCCGTGCATCCCCCCAGAGCTTCCCATACCCGCAAATCTGCCTGCACTCTCTTACTTTCATGCATCCCTCTCATCCTGCCTGTATCCTCCCAAATCTGCCTGCATCCCCAGCTCTGCCTGTACCCCACCCACAGTTACTTGCACCCTCCCTCATCTCCCTGCATCTGCTCACCCAAGCTGCCTGCACCCTCCCAGGGCTGCTTACTTCCCCTAATCTGCCTGCAGCCCCCTGTATATCCTGATTGTCACACCTTCCTCCACCTGCACCCCCAAATCTTCCTGCACTCCCTCATCTCCATGCATCCCCCCACCCTTGCTGCATGCATTGCCCCATAGCTACCTGCACTCCCTAATCTCTGTACATCCCCTCTCCCCTAGTTCTGGCTGCCCCCAAAATGGGAGCTGTGATGATTTCTGTCTGTCCCCACAGGTAGGGAAAAAAGGTCACTCCTCGGTGGAGGATGCCCGAGCCACCATGGAGCTCTACAAGGTGGTGGAGGAGGAATGGGAGCAGCACCTGCTACAGAACATGGAGCAGAAGTGACATCCTGGGGGGTCAGAGTGACACCCCCAGCCCGGTCCTGCCTCTGGGGTGGGCTCACAGTGACAGCCCCAGCCCGGTCCTGCCTCTGGGGGTGCTCACAGTGATGTCCCCAGGCCTAGTCCTGCCCCTCGAGGGTCCTGTGAGTGCTGAGGGGCTGCCTCAGTCCTTGGATGATGAGGAGCCAGGTGTGACGTCCCTCGTCCCCAAGCCTGATGTGCCTTGTTGTGCTGCTGCTGTTCCTCCCTGGTCTCCCCAGGATGTGGGGAGGGCCTGGGATGGTGCCTGCCCCAAGAGGGGTCTCTGGGACCCTGCACCCCCCAAACACTTCGGGGCTACTCTTGGTCCTGATCCGGGAGAGACATTGGGGCATCCTGAGCACAGCCCCCATCACTGGGGCTTTGGGAATGGAGCGGGCTCCTTCCTCTTCCCAAAACTACCTCTGTCAGCGCCGGGAACTGCCGATATGCCCCGGGACGCGGGTGGAACTCAGATCCCTGTGGAAAGTCCCCACTCCGCTCTGGGAGCTGCTTTCGTTGGTGGTTAAGTTCCACCTTCCTCATTGTGCAAGGGGCGGGACAAACCCGGCCATGGGGAGCAGCATCGCCCCATTTGTCTGCCCGATCCCCCCCGGGCTGCCCCAGGGACGACCCCGGCACCGGAGGGTGGCCGTAGCCTGAAGGCGCCCGAGCCCGACACGGGAAATGCTTTGAACTGAAAGGTTTATGTGCAAAATCCTAATTAAAAAGAAATTCTTAAAGATCTCTTCCCTTTGGTGGCGGTGGGGAGGAGCCCCTTGCCGGCCCGAGGGCTCCGGGGGGGTCCCCGGGGCGCTGCCGTCACCCGGCACCCTCCGACATCTGCGTCCCGCGGGCTCTTCCTCCGCCTCCTCTTCATGCCAGGGACGAGCTGGCCCCTTCCCCGGCTCTGGGCACCCCCTTTTCCTCTTGAACCACCAGCGGTCCCTGGTGTTGCTGTGAGCGAGCAGCTCCGGGAGCGGTGCCGGTGCCGAGCCCGCAGCCGGCTTGGGGCATCCCCCCGCCCCCGCCGGGCTGGACGCGGCCCCGATCCCCCGACGTGCGTCACTTTTTCCAGTGTTTCCTCGTGTTTACGTGGCTGCGCTTGGCTCGGGGCGCTAGAGCCCGAGGGAGGGTTTTGGGGTGTACATAAAGGGGCCCTTCCCCCTTTATTCGGGATAAACGCGCAGATCTGGGTCCCCCAGCAGTGCTGGGAGCGGACGGCCGAGCATCCCATGAGCCGGGAGCTTGAGGAGTTGTGGGGAGTTCATCCCTCCCGTTCCTGCCTTGCACACCCGTCCCTACGGCCCGGGTGGGGGTGGGAAAGCTGTCAGAGCCCCAAAATCCAGAGGAAGGTGGGAGGGCGGAGGAGCAGACGGGAGCCTTTGTGTCTGGGCTGGGTTTGGCGGTGATTAAGGGCTTTACAGCCGTTATAAATGGCCGGTCGTTAAAGGGGTTTATGGCCCTGGAAATGAGAAGCAGCCGGCCGGGCCCCAGCCCCCGGCGGGTGCGGGGTGCGGGTCAGGGTCCCGGGGGCTTCGCTTGGGTCCCTCCAGATGGGGCTGGGGACCTGGCGTGGGCTGGAACAGGGGTAGGTTCCCGTGGCTAGGGCAGAGTCCTGGTTGTAGGGCAGAGTCCCGGGACTGAGAAAAGGTCCCAAGGCCAGGGCAGGGTCCTGGAGCCGAGTAAGGGTCCTGGGCTGATGCCTTGGGTTTTAGCTTTTACATTTATCAGAATCTCTGCTGCTTAGTGTGTAACTGAAGTTTCATATTAGGTGTTAGTGAGTTCTCCTCACAGGGGAGTGACAAAACAATTCCTTCCCAGCTGGAGAATCAAGGACACCCAGTACTCAAAAAGCAGAAACAAAGGAGAGGGAAAGGGGGCGAGCCAGGGGGCTGAGACTTCATAGCCTGGGGCTGTGCTTGGACAATTGACCCCAAGATGTAGATGAACCGAAACTTATAAAAGTGTAAAACTCGTGACCAGGATCCATCTTAGATTTGATTTGGGTGTAGCCCCGGCCGGGCTCTCACACTGCCCGAAGTAAATCCTTTCAATAAATCCCGATTTCATTCCTTTTGCTCTGTCTAGTCTCTGCTCCAGCTCAGCCTTTCCAGCCATCAGGGCCAGGGCAGGGTCCCGCTGCGGCAGCACAGCAGAGGTCTTGGGGCACGTGGGTTCCCTCCTGCCCCACAGCCGGGGGTCCCATCGGCCACGGGGCCGGGGCCGGGCTCGGTCTCGCCGTCCAGCTGGGTTTCATTTCCGCAGCGGCCGTGGCCGTGGCCAGAGGCGGGGGGTGGGGGCTGCGTCCCGCCAGCTGGGAAGGATTTGTGGGGACATGGGGCGGAGACGATGAGTGACCTGCCCTTGCTCAGGCTTCATCCCCCCACAGTGGAGCCCCCCCCATCCTCTCTCCCAACGAGCTGGGGAAATTGGGATGGCCCCCAACAGCTTTGGCTCTTGTGTGGGGGTACCCGACACCCCCTCCGGGGTGGATCCCGGGCACCGGGGAGGGAAGGAACATCCCCAAGCAGCCACATCCTCTCAAGAGGGGCTCTGGGGCACCGACAGCATTTGGGGGGGTGAGGGGGGAGCCCACGGGGCTACCGGGGCAGCGATGGAGCCTTGCCTAGGCCGGGGGAGCCCCCCCGACCACGGTTTGTGCTCAGGATTTCTGCGGTTTGTGAGGATTTTTGCCGGGAAGGGGGGTGCGGGCGGTGGATGGTGCCGGATGTTTCCAGAGGCTGAGCCAGCTGCTGTTGCCCTGGCACTGGGACACGGCTCCCCACCCGCCTCCCAGAGAATGTGTGTCCTTCCCGGGGGTGACCGGCGCTCCAGGCGGGTTATTTGGGGGGGGCAATGGTTTCCCTGCTCACCCCAGGGCTTCACCGGCATGGGAGGGAGAGGAGGGTGGGGTGGGGTGCGAAGGCTTTATCCGCCCTTCCCGGCAGAATCCCTTCCAGATGTGGGGCTGCCGGTGGCGGCGTTCATAACCCCACTGGGTCATGGTACCCAGCACGGGACGAGGGGGACAGGGTGCCCCGAGGGGTTTGCAGCAGATCCCACCTCAGACCCCTCCACCCACTGATCCTGGAATGAAGATGCCTTTTTTTTTTTTTTTTTTTTTTTTCTTTTTTTTTTTTCTCCCCCGTTTTCCCCAGATTTGGAGCAAACCGACAGCACCACCCCTCCTGTGACTCTGGGATGGGAGGATGCAGCTCCTGCGTCTCTGGGGTGAAGGGGTTCGGGTGACTCTTCACCAGCACGCCCTTCCCGAGCCCCTGCAGCTCTGCCTGTCCCTGTCCCCTCTGGCACGGCCTCGGCACTGCTGTAGGTGAGGTTATGCCAGTGCTCGGTGAGAAATCCTGTTCTTCAGGGGATTAGGGATGCGGCAAGCCGGGACTTGGCTCACCGGCCCGAGCCGGAGGTTCTGGGGGCACGGGGGGATGTGGCCCGGAGGAGGGGGGCGGCAGGGGCTCTGTGGGGCCTTTTCACCCCAAATCGGAGGAAAAAAACCTCTCTCCTTCCATTCCAGAGTTTCTGCTGAACCAGAAACGCCATCTCTTGCTTTTCTTGCCCAGAGCTGGCCCCGCCGCGCAGCCTGCCCTTCCGCGGCGGTTCCCAGGGCTGAGAAACCTCGGGAAATCCCTCGGCGCTTGTTACCTGCCCGGGACCAGGGTTTCACCTGCCCCTGGCAGCTCACCCCGAGCTCGGCCGAGCCCTGCACTCACACGAGTGTGCACAGACAGGTGTGAGTTTGTGCGTGAGTTTGTGCGTGAGTTTGTGCGTGAGTTTGTGTGTGAATTTGTGTGTAATCGTGTGGCTGGGAAAGGCGCTGGCGTGCCCACACCTACGTACGAGTGAGCACAAGCACCTGTGCACACTCACCACCCGTGCCGCTCGGGGGGTTCGGGTAGATTTGGGGGTGCACGCAGGTATGGGGGGACGCAGGGAGATCAGGGGGTGCAGGCAGCTTGGAGGGTTACAGACAGATTTGGGGGTGCAGCAGCTCCTGGGGGTGCAGCACATGTGGGGTACAGGCAGTTTCGGGGGGATGCTCGCGATTAGGGGGATACAGGCAGCTCAGGGGGATGCAGCCAATCTGAGGAGCTGCAGGGAGATTAGGAGGGTACAGGTCTCGGGGGGGATGGGGGGAGTTTTGGGGGGGGGAACAAGCAGACCAGGTGGTGCCTCCAGTCTGCAACCCCCACGGCAAATCGGGGCGGGGGGCTCCCTCTGGGCTCTCACTCCGCAGGTGAGCGCGGAGCCCCCGGGCCGGGGCCGGGGCCGGGGGGTGGGACCAGCCCGGCGATAAAACGGCGGCGCGGGCGGGACGGGACGGACGGACGGAGAGAGCCAGCGGCAGGGCCGGTGCTGGTGCGGAGGGTGCAAGGATCCCTCGAACCGCTTATTCCCCCCTCGGTCCCCTCCCTGCGCCCCCCACGCCGGCAGCCGCGATGCCAAACTTCTCCGGGAACTGGAAGATGAAGAGCTCGGAAAACTTCGAGGAGCTACTGAAGGCGCTGGGTGAGTGAGCTCCACTCTCCCTCCGCTCCCTCCGGGACTCCCTCGGGCTGGGGGCGGCGCAGGGGAGGCGGGGGGCGGGGGGATTTCTCCCCATTTCCCCTCCAAATGCTCTTCCAGCCCGGGTGTCAGGGTGCCCGGAGCCGCCGTGTGCCGGGGGGATCCCTCTGCTCCCCCTTTTAACAACGCTCTCGTGGTTGGTGCCCCACTGAGGAATCAGAGGCACGAGGGGGCCGAACAGCGTGTCCCGCTCCCGAGGGATCCCACACGGCTCCTGCGCGTCCTCCTCTTTCCTGCCTCAGTTTCCCCACTCTGGTGGTCCCCCAGGCATGGACTCTGCCACCACCCCGGCCCCCTTCAGTCCCTCTGCCCCCCATCCCAAAAGCACCCGCGGGCTCACCTGTCCCAGGGACCCTGGGTACAGCTGGTGTCCCCAAAACCAGCCCAGGCAGGACGCCGCTGTTTTGGGGTCCCATCCTCACAGGCCTCATCTCGGGCCCCTTTGCTCCCCACCGCAGAGCTGTGTCCCCGGTGAGCGGGGGTGGGGAGGGCCAGGACTCATCGCAGGAGCTGGAACTGGGGGGCACAGGCCGGGGGGTCCCCGGGGCTTTGGGTAGGATCAAATCCAGCTCCCCCACTGCTCCCCTCCGCCTGACCCGCTCCTCGCCAGCCGGGGAGCTGCCGGAGCAGAATATTTTCCAGGTTAGGGGATACGTAACGAATATTTCAGGATAATTATCACTTTCTTGGGTTTCACTCCCGATCCCTCATCGCCCCTTTTCCCCGCCCTGGCCCCGCTGCTGGAACCGGCTTGGGGAAACCTCAGCAGGAAAATAAATCTGCCAGCCCCCCCCGGAGCCCTCTTCCTTTCCCACGGCGCAAGTGGGGGCTCCTGCTGGCTGTGCCCCCGGCCCTCCCGGGGGAGCTGAGGGATTTATGAACTTCAGCCCCCCAGACTGACTGCACCATGCCGCCCTAGCTTTGGTTTTGCTCTCTTTGGGTGTTGTTTCTTCTCCCCCAGCCCCGTCAGCATCATGCGGGGGGAGTGGGGGGCTGTGTCTGACCGCACAAGGTTTTGGGCATCCCCTCGGTGTGAATCAGGCCTCGGAGGGAGGGAAGAGACCTGGGAATGTTCGTGGGGACTTGGCGTGGCCATCGAGTGGACCCCTCAGGGATGTGTCCCTTCCCACTGCGAGGGAGTTCGGCTCCTGGAGCCCATCCGAGCACCCCCGTGTCTGCCCCGTCCCCGTGCGGGGGGACCTCCTTTGTGCAGGGACCCTCTCAGGGGGTGGCCAGTACCCACCCGGAGGGTGACATGGGAACAATGTCCCCAAAGAGCAGCTCCCCCTGTGACAGCCGGGGGCTCCAGGGCATGATGGATGAGTCGCCTCTGGAGCAGGGACAAAGCCCCAGCTGCCCCGCGGTTGGCGAGGGGGCTGCGGGGGGAGACGTGGGACCCCTCGGGGGGGTCACGCAGGTCACCTAGCACAGAGCTTGGACTGGGGCCCTTGTCCCCACTGTCACCCCGCTATGGGTGAGCCCTTGCCCCCGTCATCCCCGTCCCTTCCCCCGGGCGCATCCGGCGCCAACTCCGGCACTCCCCTCCCGCCCCCTCCACCAGGTAACGAGAGCCAGATGTGGCCCAGATGTGGCCGGGGGGGCTCGTCCGTCCCCCCATGGGTTGCCTTGAGCCACCTGCAGCACTCGGTGTACCCTGGGACGTGTCACTGCCAAGTGTGGGGGCTGCGGCCGCGGCTCCCCCCGTGCTCCCCCAGGCTCGGGGGTGGGGGCGGGGGGGAACAGTGGGGTCCACATCGCCCCGAGGCTACTGAACCAGCTCGGGTCACCGCGGGACGCTGCGGATGCGGAGGGGGAGCTCGGTGCCACCGTCCCCTTCTCCAGGCGTGAACATGATGCTGCGGAAGATCGCGGTGGCGGCGGCAGCGAAGCCGGCGGTGGAGATCCGGCAGGACGGGGAGAGTTTCTACATCCGCACCTCGACCCCCGTGCGCACCACCGAGATCCGCTTCAGGGTGGGCGAGGAGTTCGAGGAGCAGACGGTGGACGGGCGGCCCTGCAAGGTGCGCGCGTGGGCACGCGTGGGCACCTGCACACGTTTGTGAGAGTGTGTGAGTATGTGCTGTGTATGAGTGTGTGAGTGTGTGCTGTGTATGTGCTCTGTGTGACTGTGTGTGTGTCTGGGTGAGTGTGAGAGTGTGATGGCAGCTCTGTGTGTGCTCTGTGTGTGTGAATGTCTGATTGTGAATGTGATTGTGATTGTGAATGTCTGTGTGAATGGGCGTGTACTCTGTGTGTGTGCTGTGTGTGTGATTGTGTCTGTGTGATTTGTGTGTGTGCATGAGTGTGTCTGTGTGTGACTGTGTGAGTGTGTCTGTCTGAGTGTGACTCTGTGCATGTGCACACACTTTGCACCAGAGCAGGAGCTCTCCCTCACCTGTGTCACACACACACACCTGTGCACACCCGTGCCTGCACACACACGACACAGCACTCCGGTGTGCACACAAAGGTGTGCGTGTACACGTGTCTGTGCACACACGTGAGCTTGCACAGGCATGCTTGGCATGAGGCAGGAGCTCTCACCTGTGTGTGTCCACACGCTTCCCCTCCTCCTGCACCCCAACCTGTCCCTGTGCCCCCAGGTGACAGATGAGCCCGGACACCCGTCTGGCACAGGGACAGACGGCCCCGTTCCGCTCCCAGGGGTGCAGACAGATGCTCTGGTGTGGGCGGGAGGTGTCCCGGGGCTTTGCACATCCCCAGGCAGCGCTGCCCTCTGTCCCCCTGCAGAGCCTGGCCAGGTGGGAGAGCGAGAACAAGATGGTGTGTGAGCAGCGGCTGCTCAAGGGCGACGGGCCCAAGACGGGCTGGTCCCGGGAGATGACCAACGACGGGGAGCTCATCCTGGTGAGGGGGAATTCGGGGGCCTGGGGGCAGCGCTGGGAAACTCCCATGGAGTGGAGTGGAATGGGATGGGGAGGGGAAGGGGACACGGCCGTGCCTGTGACCCTGCTTCTCCTTGCAGACCATGACGGCCGACGACGTTGTGTGCACCAGGGTCTACGTCCGGGAGTGACCCCCCCAGCTCAGCTGCCCCCCCCCCCCCCCCCCCCCCCCCCCCCCCCCCCCCCCCCCCCCGCCCCCCCCCCCCCCCCCCCCCCGCGCTGGGGGTCCCATATTCCCCCCTTCCCCACCCAGTGTCCCCTCCGTCCCCTGCACTCATCCCCCGGCCACGGGGAGGGTGCTGCATCTCCCCACGGGGGTACATCAGCGAAACCCCATTTTTTGGGGGGACACACACACACGGCTTTCCCTCCCCCTGCAGGGCGGGGTCTCTCCGGGGGCAGCAGAATCTCCTGTTCTGGCCCCGCTCTGCCGCGGACGGAGCGCTCGGGGCCTGGCGAGGTGCCGGGGTGCGGCGGGGGGTAACGCGGCCCCTCCCTGCCCTTTGGGCTGGTTTGAGCTGGTTTGGGTTCGGGCTGCTGTTGGTTCCCGCAGCCCCCAGCCCTGCCCCGCGACCCCTCCCCAGTATTTATTTGTGCATATTGTACCAGATGGGAACACCAAACCCCCTCAGCCTGGGGCAGTGCCAGGTCCCAGCCCCCACAGGGTCCAACTTCCCTCTGTCACCTCTCTCCTTTTTCAATAAATGTCTTATGACCTAACTGTGGTATCCCTGTTTCTCCTCCTGGCCCCACGGGCACACGGATCCCACATCCCAGATTCTGCGCTCCAGATCCTGCACCCCGGATCCCACATCCAGCACCCCAAATCCTACAGTCTGAATCCCACACCTGGGATTCTGCACCCCAGATCCCACACTCCAAATCCCACACCCCGGATTCCACACCCCAGATCCTTCAGCCTGGATCCTGCACCCCACATCCACTCCCCGGTCATTGCGCAAGGGGCCGGGGGCGAAGGCGGCAGCTGGGTTGGCACATCCCAGCGTGGGAAGCGGGTGGTGGCTCTGAGGTGACCGTGGGGTGACTCTGGAGCAGGGAGGGCAGCGTGGGCTGGGGAGTTGTGCTCTGCCTCAGCTCCAGTGAGGGGGACATGAGAACCTATCCCAACTGGGATGGGGGGGCCGGGGGCACTTGTGGGATGCAGCTCCGGGAGTTTTCCAGGGATGTTCTTTGGGGGCTGCCCGATAATTGCCCTGCATGGGATGGCATTAATTACCCCAGGATAGCGGGGCTCAGCCCGCGTCCCTACCGGGGCTAAGCCGGGGAGGCGCAGAAAGGGTCAGGGTGCAGTGAGGGTCGGGGTGCAGGACTCTCCTGCCTCGAGGTTTGGGGACCTGCTGCCCCCCGTACCCTGCCCAGCTCGGCTCTCTCGGAATGGGCCAGGACCCTTCGGCCAGGGCAGCCCCCGAGCCGCTGTGGGGCAGGTGGGGGGCACTGCCCCACCGAGCTGAGCCGTGCGGTGATGGGGGGCCCTGAGCGGGTGGATGCAGAAGGGAACCAGGGCTCAGGGTTGGCTTCACCCCCACGCCCGGGGTGTGATCCTGCACCCCGGGAGCGCGTCCAGGAGCAGGAAGGGTGGAATTACATCTTCCCTGGGGAGGAGGAGAAGGGGGAGGAAGGCTTCGGTATCTCCAGGTGGACACTTGGCAGGCGCCCATCACCCTTGTCGCCATTCCCAAAGCGCTGCCAGGCAGTGTCCTGGTTCTCCCGACGTCCCCGAGGGTGGGCTCAGGACCCGGCCCCCTCCCCACCTCACCCGACCGGCTGCTGCTGGCCCCGGAGACCCCGGGAAAGCCACGGCCGGGCGGGAGCAGCCGGTAATGGAATCCAGCCGTCCCCCCCGGCTCCGACGGCTTCCCCTCGTTGGAGGAATATCCGCTTTCCCCCCGCAAGCCCTGGGGACGGCTCCGGTTTGCCTCTGTTTGGGGGATCACTGGGGGGGGCTCTGGGACCCCGAGAGCTGGGGCGGCACATCTGGATGGGGAGTGGTCTGTGGCTGCCTGCGCTCCCCCCGCAGCGGCCCGGGGGTCCCATTCTGCTGCTCTGGGGTGCTGGGGGGGGTTCCAGGAGGGGCAGCGGCGGGAGGTGCCCCCTCCCCGGAGCACGGCCGCGGCTCGGGGCGTTGGATGGCGGCTGCTCTCGAAACAAAAGCAAATTCCTCTGTGCGGAGCTGAGATGGGGGGCTGGGATGAAGGGGCTGTGAGTAACCCCAAAACTGCTCTGGAGGCTGTGCCCCCCTCCCATGGCTCCGCGTGGGTGGTGTCGAGGTCCCCGGCGCCTCTAATCCGGCACTAATCTTCCCCGGTGACCCCGGTGGCCCCCGGGCGGCCCCGCTGCCCCCCCGGGCTGGGGAGGGGGCCGGGCTGGCCCCTCGCCTTTCATCTCCGGAGACAAAGCGGGGCCCGGCTCCCTCCCCGTTCTGTGCGCGGGGAATGAATGCCCGACCCTGGGGGGCCGTGGCCCCTCACCCCGGAATTTTTCCATGCATTTTCTGGAAGCAGAGGCTGGGCTGGGTGTGGGGGAACAGCGGGGGGATGTGGCTGCATCTCATCCCCCCCCTGCCCCGTGCCGGAGCCATAGGGAGGGAGTGGGGGCTTCGATCTGCCTGAAGCCATGGGGGTGTGGTGGCTCTGTCCTGCCGGGGATGTCCCTGTGCAGGGAGGGGGACAGGACTCGTTGGGCAGGCTTGGGGGGCCACCCCCCTCCGCTGGGCCGTGACGCTGGGGATGGGGATAGAGGAGGGAGGCTGAGCTGGAGGAACAACACCCCCCACACACCTCCCCAGCCCCACGGCACAGGGAAGGGACCCAGCGTGACCCCACCAAACTGTGTCCCCCAAGGGCTGGTGTCACCCCTCTGTCACCCCCACACCGTCCAGGCCGGTTGCTGCTCTAGTCTGGATGGTGTGGAGGGTCCAGGCTGACATCCTTCTCCCCCAGACATACTGACTGGACTGAGGAGCTGGGGACAGGGAGGTGCCAGCCTCAGGGGGGTCTCGGCCCCTGCCTCTGCCCTGCTCCACAGGGAAGGGTCTCTGGATGTGGAACAAGCTTGCTGGCCACGAGGCCTTGGCTCAGGGTGGGCTCAGTGCCTGGCAGGGCTGGGGCATCGTGCTGCCGCTGGGCCACGTGTCCAGGTGGGCTCTGGCACATGGCACAGGGGTCCCTGCCCCTCAGTGGGGGGCATCTCTTTGCACCCAGCGCGCCCCCATCTAACTGGGGTGACAGGCTTGGCCCTGGGGGTGTCCCCAAGGCTCAGGGCAGCCAGGGACGCTGACGCCTGGGTGGCTCAGCAAGGCGTGGTCAGCCCCGGGGGAGGGTGACTGCCACCTCCTGCGCGGCTTCATCCCCTCCCTGTGCCCGCGGGCTGGGGGCTGTGCAGGAGCTCCCGCTTCCCCCCCACTCCCCTCGGCTGGCGGCCAGCCAGCATTGTTCTCCCCGCCGCCTCCTCCTCCTCCTCCTCCTCCTTCTCCTCCTCCTCCTCTCCCCCTGCAGCTGCATCTGGCGCCGGAGCTTTCCTGGGCTCCAGTGGAGGGGGAGCCTCCAGCCCCACAGAGCCCCCCGGCCAGGGCTCCTCTGGGCAGGGGGCTGGGGGGCTTCACCCCCCCTTCCACTGTGGAGGGGAGTCTCGTCCAGCAGCTGCACGTGGAGGGGGCATGGGGCGGTTATGGGATCCAGCTCGGCCTCTAGTAGGGTGTATTTTTGAGGGAGTCCCCCTTAACTGCTTAGTAGCCCAGCACTGCCCCACGGCTGGAAGCTCCCATGCAGTGTGGAGTGCAGGGCTGAAAAAGAGGGGCTGAAGCTATCTGGGGCGAGTCCTCCTCCATTGTGGGGTCTCCATGGACGCTGAGATGGTGCAGAGGGTCCAGGAGGGAAACTGGGGGTGGGTCCTGGAAGTGGGAGAGGGGGCTCTTGGGGTGACAAAGCCAGGGTGAGGGACTGGGGGTACACACGGGGTCAAGACTGTTTAAAGATAGGGGGGAAAGGTAGAGGGACAAAGGGGGGATTGCAGGGCTAGTAAAGGGGGGACAGCAAGTGGGACAGACCCCTATCTAGGCTTGGGGTCTGTGCCCTCCCCTGCTGGAGAAGGAGGAGCTGGAAGGCAGCCACGGGCAGAATCTGGCACCTCCCAGTTGTGTAAGATGGGGAAACTGAGGCACACCCGAGATCAAAGCTGGGCAGTCACTACCCCCGGGCTCCTGCTGCCCCACGCTCAACCCCACACCCTGCCCCACGCTCAACCCCACACCCTGCCCCACACACTGCCCCAAGTTCAACCCCACACACCGAGTTGGGATTCGCGTTTAATGCCAAGTACAAAGTCACCAACCCACCCCCCCCAAAAAAAAAAAAAAAAAAAAAAGAAAAACTTCTAAAATTCTTCCAAAAATAAATTAAAGGGAAGGGACGGGTCCCCCCCAACCCCTCCTGTCCTGTGCAAAGAGAAAAGAGCCACCCCCTCTGCATCCCAGGCCTGAGCCAGGCTCCAGTAAGGAAAGAAATGGGCAAAGCAAGGGGCTGGGGGCCCAGGCAGCACACCCCCGCAGTGTGGGGCCGGGAGGGGGGCATCCCCAAAAGGGGTGGGCAGTTCCCCTCCTCCCCACACTGGCTCTAGCACAAGCTTGGCCCCACCACAGCAGATGGGGAAACCGGGTACTCCCTCCTCGTCTCAGGCCAGAGCCTTCCCAGTGTGGGATGTGCCAGGTAGCTGGACCCGGCCCCACGCCCCCCAAGCCCCCCGCCCACGGCAGCGGCGGCTTCACTGCCCCGGGACTGGAGGCGAGGCGAGGCAGGGCAGGGCAGGGCAGGGCAGGGCGGCTTCACCCAGCTCACCCACCTCACTGGGGGGGCTCTGCCTGTTCACGGGGGAGCGAGGGAGGTGAAGTGCTGTCGGAAAGGCGACCTATGTACATCCCTGAACGTGGCGGCTCCGCCAGCCCCTCCCCGCCGCGCGGCCCCGGCCCTGCCCCGCCTGCGCCCGGGGGGCTCCGGCCCCCTCCCCCGCTATGAGGTCTGGCACTGGACATGCTGGCGCATCCCGTCCTCGAAGTCATCCTCGTGATACGCTTCTCCAGTGTAGGGCCGCCGGCCGGGCCCCCCGTGCGCTGTGTAATCACTGAGCTCCACCTCCTCCGTGTCCTCCGTGGCCATCACCTCCTCCTGCGGCGGGAAGAAGGCCTGGAGCTGGCGCAGGCGGTCAGCAGGGAGCCAGCCCGGCTCCGGAAACTTCACCTGTGACCAGAGAGCAAGTGTGAGGTGCGGGTGGCAACTCGGGAAGCCCAGAGGTGGGAGACGTCAACTCCCACTCTGCTCTAGCTCACCTCGAACTGCAGGATGAGCTTTCCCTTCTGAAAGGGGCTCCTGTAGACAGGCATCCCCTCGTTGGGGATGCACTTCAGGTCCCCAGGCCGGATCACGTCACCTGAGAGAGACGAGGGTCACCCTGCTGTGCTCCCGGGCCCCTTGCTGTGTCACAGGGGCAGCCCTGAGTCCCCTCTCACCTGGCGGGGAGGACACGAGCAGGGTGCGGTTGTCCAGGGTGCGAATCACCTGCCGGCACCCGCACAGGGCGTCTGCCAGGCTGATCTCCCTCTTGACAATGAGGTCATCGCCGCTGCGCCGGAAAACAGGATGCTCCTTCTGGTCCAGGACAATGATGATGTCCCCGGGCTCCAGGCCAGGCACCTGGTCCCCTTCCTCGTGGAAGGTGATTTTCTGCCCATCCTTCATGCCTGCGAGGAGTGTGGGGAAAGCTCAGGGCACGTGCACCACTCTGGGGTGACCCCTCCCCGCGTTCAGCCATATCTCACCTTTATCCAGGTGCACGCTGAGGATCTTCTTCTCCCGTACAACCTTGCGGCCGTTGCAGGTGAGGCAGCAGTCCCGGGGCCGGATCCACTCGCCCTGGCCCTGGCACTGGGAACACACCGTCTGGATCTGCTGGATCATGCTGGGCCCCAGCTGGTGGATGCGAACCTCCATGCCCGAGCCATGGCACTTGGGGCACCTTCTCTGGGCACCCTCCCGCACCCCACAGCCTGTGCCGAGGGGGGCAGGGGGTCAGACAGTGGGGTAGTGGGTGCTAGGGCGGCCCCCCAGCCCCTGCAGCCCCTCACTCACCTCCACACTTGCGGCAGATGATGTTCTTCTGCAAGGACAGCTTCCGTGTGGAGCCATTGTACAGGTCCTCCAGTGACACTGAGAGCTGGTGCACCACTGTCTTCCCTGGGCACAGGGGAAAGGTTGGCTCAGCACCAGCCACGTGCCACCTCCCGTGCCATGCCTGGACAGGCACTGGACACCACTCAGGGTCATCAGGTCCCCCCAGAGCCAGTCCTACTCCTTCCTCAAGGACGGAGGCAGGGACGTGGACAGTTTCACTCCAGGCCGGGCATGTCCAAGCCCGGATCCTGTTGGCTGCCCCGTGTCAGTGCTGGGTCCCCAACGTGGGCAGGGCACAGCTCCCACCCCAGGGCTCTCAGCCACCCTCCAGCTGCTGGGACACTCCCCTGGCATCCTAATTGCCCTGCTATTAACTCGTGCCATCTCAGCAAGAAGCGCCATGGCGAGTCACCCATCCCGAGTCACCCTGTCCCTGTGACCCAGGCCCAAGGCATCCAACAGTCACCCGGCCGGCCCTGCACACCGCGTCCTGCTGCCACCCCCGGGGCTGCACTGGTGACTCAGCTGCAGCCCCGGGGACTGCGGCGGGGGAAAGCCAGGACAAGGACAGGGAAGGGCCCTTTGAAGAGCGGCAGGTGGAGAAAGTAATGAGGATGGTGAGGAGCTGCACAGGGCTGTGCCGCAGGGGCAGAGACAGTCTGGGGAGTCCAGCTGGATCCCGGTGTCCCCAGAGCCAGTGCCGTGCTGGGCACCAGCCTCCTCTCACCCCAAAGTCCCAGCATGTCTGTCACCCCCCTGAGACAGTGCTGTGCTGAGCACCAGCCCACCGACACACAGGGATCCCAGGAACTCTGTGAACCCCTGAGCCAATGTCACACTGCATTTGGGCACCAGCCCTCTCCCACATCATGGTTCCCAGTGATCCCTTGTCCCTCACCCCAGTGCTGTGCTGGGTTCCAGCCCTCTCCCACCCTGGAGTCCAGGTGAGTCCCTTATCCCCGTACCTCTCCTGTCTGCCCGGCCACGCATCCGCACTCCCCCTCCAAAGAAGAGGTCGAAGATGTCCATGGGGGAGCCGAAGCCGCTGCCTCCCCCGCGGCCACCCAGGCCTCCTTCCTTCATGGCCCGCTCGCCACCACGGTCGTACAGCGCCCGTTTGTGGGCATCCGACAGCACCTCGTAGGCTTGGGAGATCTGCTTGAACTGGGGAGGGGGAGAGGTGGGTGAGGTGGGAGAGGGCCAGCTGAGGGGGGCCGGGGGGCTGCACGTACCCGCTCGCCCTCGCTGGGGTTCTTGTCGGGGTGGTAGCGCAGTGCCAGGCGCCGGTACGCCCGCTTGATCTCGTCCAAGCTGGCGCCCGGCCGCACGCCCAGCAAGTCGTAGTAGCCTGTCTCCTTCACCATCTTCCTCGCTGTGACGTGCTGGGACAGGACAGAGCTGTGAGCCTGTGACTGCGATGCAGCCTGGGACCTCTACGTGGCCCATGACCCCCTGACCTAGCCCAGGACATTCGCCCCAAAATCCCCACTGATCCCTGTTCTCCCCCTGCACAACCCTGCATCCCAGTGGGACAGGGGGTGATGGTCGGGGGGTGACATCAACCTGACAGCCAGACCCCACACAGGGGTCATGCAACGGTGTGCACGTGTGGGGGTGGACCCCAAGGCTGGTCCCCACAGTGGGGGGGGGAACGCCCCAAAGTCCCATCCCACTGCGGGACCCCCAAAAGGCTTTGATCGCTGTTCTCCTCCGTGCACAGCCCTGCCTCAAGTGTCCCCCCCGCAGGAGCATCCCGCAGGTCACGGGGTGTCAGGGGATGTCTGAACAGGGTGACATCCTGCTCCACAGGTGTGGGGACCGCCAGACACCGCACGGGGGTCCGGGAAGAAGGGGCAGTGTCGAGGGGGGGTGTCCCTGTACCCCCCGGGCCATGTGTCGCAGCCGATAAGCCCCGCGTGGGGTGGGGACATATTTATCTTGCGACACGGGGGGACGCGGGGAAGCGCCCGTGACCCACGCACGAGTAAATAACCGGTTCCGACACCGGACCGGCTTTCCCGGCACTGGAGCCGGGTTCGGCCCCCGGGGACCCCCGGGGCGGGCCCGTCCCGTCGGGCCCAACGCAAGAACCCCGCGGCTGGAGCTGGGTCTATCCCCCGGGACCCACAGGGCCGAGGCTGGGGCCGGGACCCTCGAGGCTGGGTCTGTCTAGACCCAGGCTAGGTCCGACCCGTCCGGTCCAACCCAGGATCCCCGGGAGAGGCGGCTCCGCCCGCCGAGGGTCGCGGGGCGGGGGTGTCGGGGGGTACCGGGAGGTGTCGGAAGGTACCGGGGCGGAGATGACACGGTGACATCCCGTTTACAGCCGCGCAGGTAGCCAGACCCCACACCGGGTGTGCAGGAGCGGACCCCGAGCCCGGTGCTCACGGGGAGGGTTCGCCCCAGAGCCCCCCCAGAGCCCCCCAGGCCCGCAGGTCATCACAAGCCACCTCAGCGGTGTCCGGGCCGGGACCGCCGCTGACACCGCCGGGGCGGGGCGGACCGGTTCCTGCTGGGGGGTCCCGGGGAGGTTTGGGAGGTGCTGAGGGGGTCCGGGGGTTCGCAGCGGGGTCCCAGGGGCCGCCCCCCCCACTCACCGCCGCCGCCGCTCCGCCGCCGTCTCCGAACTCTCTGGAAGCCGCGGGCACGGCCCCCGCGCTGTCCCCGCCCCCTCCGCGCCGCACGCCGCGCCCATTGGTGGAAACGCCCTCTTCCGCCCGCCCATCACCCCTCCGCCCCGGCGCTGATTGGCTGTGAGGGCGGTTCTTGCCGGTCGGGAGGCGGGGCGCCGTGTAGCGTTGTGATTGGCTAAGACAGCTGCCGGGCCCGCCTACAGTATAGAGCGCTTCTCGCTCATTGGCTGGGAGCGGGTGGCCAATCAGAGGGAAGAGTGGGAAATGCGGAGGCTGCGGGAGTCCGGCAGGGGGCGCGCAGGGCGCGCGGAGCGGGGCGGGGCCGGGAGGGGGCGTGGCAGTGGGCGGGATCGTTGTGTCAGGGGCGTTGCCATGGGTGTGGTCAGTGGGTGGGGTCACGGGGTCAGGGGCTTGGCCGTGGGTGTGGTCAATGGGTGGGGTCACGGGGCCAGGGGCGTGGCCATGGGTGTGGTCAGTGGATGGGGTCACGGGGTCAGGGGCGTGGCCGTGGCTGGAGGGGAGGGACATGGCCGGGAGTGTCGCTGGGGTGGGGGCACGGGGTGTTTTGGGTGGGTCCGAGGGGTCACGGAGGAGACTCGAGGTGGTCCCGGAGGTTTCAGGGAGCCCTGCGGGAGTCACGGGGCGTGTTCCCGAGGTTCTGGGATGGTCACAGGGGGGTCCTGAGTGGGCTTGGGGAGTCCCGGAGAGGAGGGAGGCCACCGTGGGTTCTCGTGGCGGTCACGGAGGGGTCCCGAGGAAGATTTTGGGCGTCCCGGGGGGGCGACAGGTAGCCAGGGGAATCAGGGGAACTCCTTGAGGGGTCACAGAGGGTTCCCCTGGGAGTCACAGGCTCCTTCTGCAGGAACCCCTGGAGTGAGTAGGGAGCCAGGGGGGTCACGGGATGGTCCCCAAAGGTCTGGGGGATCCTAGGAATGGTGATGGGAAACCTGAGGAGCTGACAGCGAGGGCAAGGGGCCCGGGGGGTCCTCTGCTCTCCCCTCCCTTGTGCAATGGGGGTGCCCACAGACAGCCCAGCAGAGCCTTTCTGGGAGAGCCTGTTTGTGTTCCCCCTCCCCAGGCAGGCTTTTTTTTTGCAGGAGGGATGCCAAGAGCAGGGAGCTGAACTGGGGGATCTGAGCTTTGGAACCAGTGTCTGTCTTGAGGGCCATGGGTCTGAACTAGTGGTCTGCTCTTGGGATCTCTCCAGGGGTCAGAACCGAGGGGCTGGGGTCTGAACCACGGGGCTGGGATCTTCCAGTTGTCTTTGTCCCCTCTCAGGGCAGTGTAAGGGGTGAGGGCCTCTCCTCCCAGGCCCCATCTAGGGCTGCTCAGGCATTTCTGTGGCCCCTCCAGACTCTGGTGTTCACCTGTGCCCTCCACAATGGCCCCAGTCCTGCTGGGGGTCTGGCTGGGGTCACTGGCCAGTGAAGCCCTAGGAGAGGAGAAGGAGGAGGAGGAGGAGGAGGAGAAAAGGGAGGAGGTTGACAGAGGTTATGGTGGGGTTTGGGGGGTGCTGTCATGACCCCTGTCATGACCTCCCCTCCCCCGTGCTCCAGCCCTGCTGTCCCCCCTGGCCATGTTTGGCCACGCTGAGCCCCTCTGCATCTCCCGGGGGTTGCAGGGCAGGATCGAAGGGTCCTGGAGGTGATAAATCTCCCCCACCCGAAACCCAACCCTGTCTGGCAGCTGCTGCCCCACCGGGGGCAGAGACCCCCGGCCCACCTGCCCCAGGAATCTGGTCGGAATTGCTGTGAGAAGCTGCTGCTGTTGGGTGACTGATGGCAACGGGCAGGTCTGACATGGTCCCCAAACTGGGAATGGGGTCTCTAAACTGGGAATAGGGATTCTAAACTCAGCACGTGGTTCCCAAATTGGGAATAGGGTTCCTAAGCTGGGAATGGGGTTTCTAAATCGGGCATATGGTTCCCAAGTGGGAACAGGGATCCCCGAACTTGGCACAGGGTTCACAAACTGGGAGCAGAGTCTCCAAACAGAGAATGGAGTCCCATACAGTTCCCAAACCCGAATGGGGTCCCAAATTGGACAGAGTCCCCAAACTGAAACTGGGAAAAGGGTACCCAAAGTGGAAATGGGATCTCCAAACTGGGAAAGAGGTCCTCGAACTGGGAAAATGGTACTGAAACTGGGAATAGAGTCCCCAAAGTGGACACATGGTTCCCAAACTGGGAATGGGGTCCTTAAACTGGGAATGCAGTCCCCAAAGTGGGCACACAGTCTCCAGGCTCAGAATGGAGTCCTCAGCCACCCTGTGGAAGTTGTCTGGGACAAGGAGTGCTGGAGCCAAGTGCCCTTCCTGTCCCTTCCCGGGCTGGATCCGGTGACTGGTGGTGACTCAGGACTGGCCACGGTCACATCCTGTCCCTACCACGTGTCCCTGGCCTGGCACTGCGCCCCAAACCTCCCGTGGGCACTGGGGCTGGATCCTGGGGGCTCAGCCCATGGCAGGTTTGGCCACAGGGGTCAGGTGTGGCCTTGGGGCGGGGGACACAGCCTGATTGTCCCAGTGCCACCTGCACTGGGGTCAGCTGTGCTGGAGCCATTTCTGTGGCTGAGTCACCTCCATCACTCGCTGTGCCCATCCCTGATGTCCCACAGCATAGTGGGGGTGCAGATGGATGTCCCAAAATCGGATGAGTGCTCTGGGGGGACTTCTCCTCTCCCCATTATTGGCTCATCCCCTTCCTGCCTGTGGCTGACCCTTGGCAGGCTGGACGAGAAGGGAAACTGAGGCAGGATGCTGGCACGTGTGGGGGGGAGCTATGGGGGTTTTTCCCAGCCACAGCCCTTTCCCATCTGCTCCTGTCCCTGTGCCACATCCCTGTGGCTGGGATTGCCAGGGCCAGGGAAGGGCTGGGGCTCTCAGGGTGTCTGGGGGAAGAAATGTTCCCTGTTCTCCCCAATTATCTGGGGGAAGTAAAGGTGCAGGGATGGGGGTCAGGGATAGGATCAGCAGGACCTCGCTCCAAGGATGAGGGGGGATCACCCCAGGAATGGGGAAGCATCTCCCCAGGGATCAGGGAGCATTGATCCAGGGAGAATCATCAGTCTGGGAATGGGGAAACATTGCCCCAGGGAGAATTTATGCCCCCAGGAAGAGAAAAGCGCCGCCCCGGGGAGATGAATCACCCTAGAACGGGAAGGCATCGCCCCAGGAACTGGAGTGCATCACTCTGGGGGGCTGCATCACCCCAGGGATCAGGGGTGCATTGTCCCAGGGGGATTCATCACCGCCGGGACCCCACCATCCTCCCTGCTCCTGACGGACGGCTCCAGGCGCGCATTCTCGGCGGGGTTGCCCCCGGGCTCGGCCCCAGGCATCCGCACCGCCCCGGGCTGGCAGCTGCTGTCGCCGAGCTGGGGCACGGGCGCTGCTGCGGGGTCACGACCCAGCAGCTGGGCGAGCCCCCCAAGCCGGGGCAGAGCTGATTTTAGCCGGCGGGAGCTATTCCCGGGGTCTGACCCGGGTGAAGGGCGGGCGAGAGGGTGACCGAGCCACCTCCCCCCTCCTGGCATGTCCCTGGAGGTGTCACGGGAGGGGACGGTGCTGGGGGGAGAGTGGTGATGCCTCCCTGGGCATCCAAAACCCACAGCCCGCAGCCCTCCTCTGCTGTGCCGTGGGGATTTTGGGGTCCCTATCGATTGTCCCCACCGTGCATCCATCCCCCTTGGGAACAGCCCTGGCGCTCTGGTGGCCCCAGTGTGGCTCCGGCTCGCCTGCATGCAGCATCCCCAAGGGCTCCTTTTGGGGAGGGGGAGCGGGGGCTGCCCGCGCCCCTCCCGCTGTATTTTTAGTCCTTTCCTTAAAAGGTTCCCATGAATTTTGGGAGCTGAGAGCGGAATGAAGTCATCGCTGAGGTCATCCCGCCTCATCCCCCCTCCCCGTCCCGGCGCGGGCTCACCCCACAGGGAGTTTTTGTGTGGGCTCCATTGAAACTCCCCTCGCCCAGCCTGGGAGGAAACAAAACCCTTCCCTGGCTGGCGGGGGGCCAGGCTGCGGGGGGTGCGGGGGACTCCAGGGGCTCTAAAAGCTCCAGCCCAGGCAACAATTGGCAGCTCCCCCAGAGCTGCAGCCCCCGAGACCCCCTACCCCCTTGCACACTCTTGTGCCTCCCCGGTGCTCCTGCCCTGGTGTGAGCAGGGTTTGAGTGTAGGACACCTCCATTTCCAGCCCCTCAAAGCAGTGTGGTCCCCAAAATCAGCCTGTGTGCACTCGACTGGGGGTGGGAGAGTGGGGCCTGGAACACTCTGGTTGGGTCTGAGGAAATTTGGGGACAAGGGAGATGTGCCCAGTGGGTGCCCGAGCTGCAGCCCCAGCCAGGGTGGTCAGGGGGTAACTCAGGCACCCCTGTCCCCCCCAGTGTTGCAGTCACACTGTGCTGAGGGACAGTCCAGGTCCCACTGGGAACACTCTTGATCCCACTGAGGGCATGCTTTGTCCCACGAGGGACATCCTTCATCTCACTGGGAACTTGCTCAGTCCCACTGGGGACACACTCAGTGCTGTTGGGGTCACACTGTATCCCATCAGGGACACATTTGATCTTGTGGGGACACACTCAGTCCCTTTGGGGACACACTGAGTCCTGTTGGGGTCACACTGTATCCCATCAGGGACACATTTGATCTTGTGGGGACACACTCAGTCCCTTTGGGGACACACTGAGTCCTGTTGGGGTCACACTGTATCCCATCAGGGACACATTTGATCTTGTGGGGACACACTCAGTCCCTTTGGGGACACACTCAGTCCTGTTGGGGTCACACTTGTTGCTGGCAGGAGCACTCTTGTCCCGTCACTGCACAGTCCCTTCGGGCACTCGCCACACCCAGACGAGTCTCCCCAGAGCTTCCTCTCCTGGCTGCAGCCCCCGCGGATTCCAAAGGCCCGGGCGATCTCCCCCATCCCCCCAGCCGACTCCCAGATTTCGGCACTTCGTCCCATCCTCCTCCTCCTCCCCTGCCTCCTCCTCGCGGGGAGGAAGGGGCTCCCCCTCCCCCCGCCATCTGTCCCCCCTCATCACTCTGTCAGCACCGGCTGGAATGTGGATTAATTTCGGGAGGAATGTCACCCCCCGCATGGCGAAGCCTGGCCCGAGCCATCTCCGTCTCCTCCTCAACATCCCCCACCCCTCTCCTGGCCCGGGGACCCCCAGATCTGGGGACCCCTCGGGGTTCCTGGGGGGCACTGGGGGCTCAGGAGGTGCTGCTGGAGCTGTTGCCGGGCTGATACTGCCCAGACACCCCGAGGTGTGTTGGGCCAGAGGCTGATTGAACGCAGATTCGGCGCCTGATTAAACTCATCAGAGGGGGATTTTTTATTACGGTGTTTGGATCCGTTGGAGTTTCACCTTAAAAGGAATCTGTCGCCTTCGGGCAGGGGAGGGGACCGGGGGCTTCGCAGGGAGGAAGGCGCTAAATGTTGGGTTCTTATCGGTCCCTCCTGGCTCTCAGCATCCCTGGGCGCTGGCGCTGGAGCTAAATCGGGCGTGTGGACAAGCGCCGGGGCCAGCCAGGCTGCCAGGCCGGCCGGGACACTCGGGCAGCGATGCTGAGCACAGCCGTGGGTGCGAGGCTGGCGGGGTGCAGGGATGCCATGGCCACCCGAGTCACCGTGTCCCCTCGGCCGGGGTGACTCAGCCCTTTGCCCGCCATAAAGGAGCCCATTCTTCAGCTGGTGCCTGATTCATGCAGCTCTCCCCACGCCCGGCCTGCACAAGGGCGCGATTGAGCCCCGCCGGCTCCTCACAGCCCCCCAAAGCCACTTGGGTGAGGGGGTCCCCACGGTGGTGCGGGGGTTCCGGCAGCTCCCGGGGCTGGGATCTGTTCCGCGGGCATCCTGCCCGGATCGGGCTGGTGCTGTTGGCTCCCGGCTCGGGGCGCTGGCACGGGCATTGGGTGGGGCTGGGCTGGCATCCCGGCTCGCTCCTGCCAGCAGCCCAGGAGGAAGCTGGGGAAGCTTCTGGCCAGCAGCGAGCCCTGAGTGGCATCTGCGGGTCCCTGGGGATGCGGGAGCATCACCTCGGGGGATGGAGGAGCATCTCACCAGAGATGAGGGTCCATAACCCCGGCGGGCTGCGGCCTGGGAATGGGGGAGCATCCTCCTGGGGGCATTGCCCTGGCGGGCTGCATCACCACAGGGCTGGACCAGCATCACCCCGGGGATTGCTCCAGGCATGTGCATTGTCTTAGAGATGGAGGAGCACCATCTCACGGATCCTGTCCCCAGCCCGTGCTGATGAAAGGGAACTTTCCCATCCAAGGGCAGCCTGGAAGTGCAACCCCCTCAGACAGTGCCCTCCCCTCCCCTCCCTCCCCAGCCCTGTCCCAGGGCTGCTGCCCCCTGCTCCCAGAGTGAGGAGAGCCAGGTCCTGAGTGGGAGGATGAGGCTTTATTAAATTAATGTCGAGGCAGTGGAAACATCCAGCGTGGCTCAGCCCCCAGTGTCGGCGGGTTGGGGCTGGGGACCCCGGGGTGATGGAGCCCCAAAACACTGAGTCCCAGGGTACAGTTTGGGGGGGATCCCTAGCCTCCAGCTGGGCGTCCTGGGGCAAATACTGAGAAAGTTGGAGGGGGAAGATTGCAGGGAATGGAGAAACACAAAGTTTAAATTAAATACAGCCACGGCAACCCACCCAGAGGAAGGTCAAAATGAAGCAGGGGTCCCAGAGCAAGCATGCGAATTTGGGTGGGCTGTGGGGGGGAACAGAACTTGGTGGTTCTTCACTCTGAAAAGGGGTGCAAAAAAATCCACACAAACATGTTAAAAACCACAAGGAGATGGGGAAGCACTAGGAGGGGGGTGGGACAAGTAGGGGTACTGGGTTTTGGCAGGAAGGGGGCTACCAGAAGGCTCCCCCTGACTGTTGTCACTCATCCCCTGAGGACCAGGGCTCCTGCTCAGCTCTCAGCTGACACACTGCTGGCTGGTCGGGTGTGAGGCACAGGACATCCTCCCCCAGGGCAGGGGGCACAGGGCTGGGGTCGGCTCCACCATGCTTCCCCCTCAGGGTGGCATCCCCCAGCTTGGTGGCAGTGCCATCTCCAGGGGTGGGGACCTGCGGTGTCATCACCATGGAGGGCTCTGCGGTGTCTGTGGGGAGCTCCTGTTCTGGTGCTGTGCTGGTGATGCCGTTCAGCCCCTCGTCAGTGAATTCAGCCAGGTCTTCCAGGCTGGCCTCCCGGTGCAGCCCGTTCTCAGCCCGGACCACACCCTCCATCTCTGGGACTGCATCTGGTGCCTCCTGCACCGTCGGCTCCTCCTCACTGGATGAGGCAGGTGAGGAGTCTTCCCCTGCATCCTGGGAGAGCTCAATCCTTCCAGGACCCTGCTGCCCATCCTCTGCCACCCTCCCCCCCATCAGCTCCTGGTTGAATTCCAGAGCCTGCTCAACTATTTCCAAAATATCCGAGTCTTTCATGATATCCACTGGCACCTCTGCAGAGAGAGCAGCTGTGCCAGGGATATCTGGAATCGACTCTGGAAAACTTTCCTGCTCCAGTGCAGAGCCCAGCTGAGGAGGACTGGCCTCGGGGAGCTGCTCATTCCTGGGTGAAGGAGGGCTGTCACTGTCGGGTGTTTCCTCCTCTGTGGATGGCTGCTCTTCCAAAGGCTGCTCTGCTTCATCGGGCACTGCCTGGGCCTGGAGCCCTGCTGGAGGGGTAGCCTCGGCCATGTCATGGAGAGCCATGCTGGGCTCATCCTCATCTGCCCCCTCCTCCTCCTGCCCTGCCAGCCCCAGGCTGCAGCCTGGGAGGGTTGTTGCTCCACTGACATCCCTCTCCAGCTCTGTTGTGTTGTGGAGCTCCTCATCTGATTCAGCAGCCAAACCTTCCGAATGCTCTGGTCCCTCCCATGCTCCAGTGGCACCCTGGGCTGGCTCATCAGTACCTCCTGCTAAAGGTCCCATGGCCCCGAGACAGCTGGGATCTGCTTCAGGCACAGCTGGGCCTTCCTCCAGCTCAGCAGTGCTGTCCTCATCCTTTGGCATCTCGGGTTCTTCAGTGGGCACCTCCACATTTTCATCTGCTCCCCCAACAAGCCCCTCGAGGTGCGCTTTGCTCTCTGGCACTGGAGATGCTTCTCCAGGAGCATCCAGATCATCTTGGCTGCCTTCAGTTGCTTCTACTTTAATTTCTTCAAAGTCCTCAGAGATCTCGGCTTCCTCCAAGCTGGACACCTCTTGGTTGGGAGCAGAGACCATGAAATAACCTTCCTCCTCCTCAGCCCCCTCTGCCACAGCAGCCACCCCTGCCCCTGCCTCCTCTTCAGGGCTCTCTGGCATGGTGGGAGTTGGTGGCTTGTCCCTGTCTTCCAGCCACCCTTCACCCTCCTGAGCTGTGTCAGGCACAGGCGCTGTCTGTGTTGTCTCCTCGGTCTCTGGAGGGTTTGGGCTGGGTGCACCCACAGCCAGCATCTCCCCTTCATAGAGGTGCAAGGGCGTGCTGTCCGGCAGCGTGTCCTCCAGCTCCACCCTCCTGCCGGTGCCCAGTGTGGGCTCTGGGTCTCCTGGGACCTCCTCCAATGCCCACTCGCCACTCTCCACGCTGTCACCTGGCACCTGCTTCAGTGCTACAAGCTCTGAGCTCCCCAGCTTCCCCAGCTCCGAGCTGAGCCCATCATCACCATCATCATCATCATCCTGCCCCTCCCACGGCTCCTCTGGAGCCTCAGCCAGGTCCTGTCTGTCCCCTTGCTCAGGGGCACCTGGAGGGGCTGGGTCAGGCTCTGCCACGGTGCCCTGCTGCTCCTGCTGCTCCTGCCTTGCCAGCTCCGGTGCTGGCTCAGCCTCTGGCAGTGGCTGCTGCTGGCTCATCTCCTGGCTCTTGGCATCTTCATCATCTTCCTGGGCTCCCTCCAGCTCTGCTGGCAATGTGCCCTCTCTCTCCTCACTTTTCAGCCTTCCTGCGCTGCTCGGGGTGTCATCTGCCCAGGCTGGCTCTTCTGGCCCCAAAACTCCCTCAGTGTCCTCTGCTGTCACCTCCCAGTCCTCTGGGCAGGGCTCTTGGCCATGGCCATCATCCCCCCCGTCCCAGGGTTCCTCTCCTGGTTCCTGCTCCTCCCGTTCCTCCCCCTCTTGCACAGAGCCGCTTTCCTGCACGTCCTCAGGCTCCTCTGGGGCTCTGCTCTCCCACTCCAGGGTGTCACCTCCCACAGCCTCTGCTGCCCCGGGATCCTCTCCTGCCTCAGAGCCTTCTCCTGCCCCATGGTCTTCTTCTGACTCAGAGTCCTCTCCTGCCTCAGGGTCCTGTCCTGCCTCATGATCGTATCCTCCCAGCACCTCCCTGCTGGCCTCTCCCTTTTCTCCCTCACCGTCTTTCACTCTGCCTGTGTCCTCCCCTCCCACAGCATCTTCTTCAGCTCCTAAGGAAGCCTCCTCTGCTGGGGTGGCCTCATGGACACTCGAGGGCTTCTGCTCTGGGCACAGCTCCTGTCCCCTTTCCTCCTCTGCAGCCAGATCCATCTCACACACGGGCATTTTCTGCTGCTCAGACCTTTCCTGCTCTGCATCAACAAAGTTCTCTCCCAGGTGACCTTCTGTGAGCAAAACCAGGTGGCTTTCTGCAAGGACAGCATGAGCAGCTTCCACTTCTCTGTGTGGACACTCCTCTTCTTGCACATCTGTTCCTTCTTCCTGGAAATCTCCATTCTCCTTGCAGGGGCTGCGGGGTCCCCTCTCCTCCTCCTCCTCATCCTCTGAGGGGTGTGATGGCTCTGTGCTTGGGGTCTGTGCCCTGTCCTCCTCTTGCTCTGGCTTTTCCCAGCTGGTCACTGTCTGTCCAGGGAGACCCTTGTCCTCTTCTCGTGCCTCCACTTCTGGATCCCTCGGGCTCAGCACAGCAGGTGCCCTCTCCTCCTCCCACGCTCCCAAATCTTCCTGGCTCCCTGAGGCACTCAGGGAAGTGGCTGTGCCTGGTGGGGACACGGCTCTGTCCTGCAGGATGCTGCTCTCCACACCCAGTCCCTGGAGCATGACCTCCCCAACCCTCTCCTCTGCCTCAGGGCTGTCACCATCCTCAGAGCCCTCGGAGGGGTCCTGCTCTTCCCCAGGCCCCTCTGACACAGCCTCTGCACAAGCCTCTGTGGGGAAAATGGGGCTGGGGACACAGGCATCCCGGGGGGCCCATGTGGGCTCTTCTTTGGGCTGAACATCATCTTCCATGGCCTTGAGTGCATCCTCCAGCACCTCGCTGACCAGCTGGGCCGGGTACTGCAGCCTGAGGGTGGGCACGGCTCCCAGGGGCTGCACGCTGGCATTGGGACTGTCCCCCAAGGGACACTCTGTCCCTTGGCTCATCACTCCCCCTGGCCAGGCGGGACCCTCTCCCCCAGAGCTCTCCTGCTCTGGTGGTGAAGGGCTGGGGGGCTCTGGGGAGAGAGCAGGGGCAGCTTTGCCTGCCTGTGAGGGGCTGGGTGTGGGGCAGGCAGGGGCTCCCAGTCCCCCAGCCCTGCTGGGAGTTGGCATTGCCGTGGCATGGAGGACTGAGCTGATTTTCTGGAGCTCCCTGGCACTGGGGCTCTGGCTTTTGGGTGTCAGGGTGTCACTTTGGGGTTTTGCTAGCTGCCCCCTCCCCTCTGCCCTCGGGAAGATGGAGGGGCTGGTGCAGTGGTCTCGGGGCAGCAGCCTCCTGGTCTCAGGGCTCGCTGGTACCAGTTTGCTGCTGCTGCTGCTGCTCACCTCCAGTCTGAGATCTGCAAAGAGTGAGGTGGAGCCGTGAGCGGGCAAGGAGCCGCTCCCTGGCTCTCCCAGCCCTCCCCTGCTGCCTGGCTGCCTCTCACTGCCCCCTCTCCTATTTTTAAACAGCTCCTTCTTGGAAAGTGGGAAATTCCTCTCTCTTGAGTGCAGCGGATGCTGGCGGTCCCAGGGGATTCAGCATCAGGCTGGGACAATGCTCTGCCCAGCTGCAGCCACAGGCAGGTCCTGCTGCTGGGGAAAGTGTGCAGGTGACAAGCTTTCCTTGTTTTTTTTTTAGTTTTGAGGAAAAAGGAAATGCTCAGCTTGTTACCACAGCCCGCCGTCCTGCTGGGCAGATCCGCTCCTGCCCTTCCCATGAAAGGCAGGGAATTAAGAAACGAGGCGAAGGAGCAGATAAGCCTTATCTGGGCTCTGAGCCCCGTGCCAAGAGCCCCCGGCCGCTGTTCGCACCTTCCTATCGCGGCCGGGCAACCGCTGCCAGGAAAATGCAGGAAAAGGTGTCTAAAATCAGCCTCATTCCCCGAGCCCTCCCAGGGTGACACGGTGGCGGTGCCGGGGGTCGCACCGGGGGTCCCTTACCTCTCACACCATTGGCCAACCTGAATTCCCCAGCTGGCATCTGCAGGCGGGTGCTCTCTGCTTCCAGCAGCGTCCTGCAGGAGGAGAGGAGCACGGTGGGTGCTGCAGGAGGGGTGCTACAAGGGTGGGTGCTACAGGGTGCTGGGTGCTGCAAGGTGGGTGCTGCAGGGTGCTGGCTGCTCCCTGTGCACCCCAGCTCACCCCGCTGGGTAAACTGAGGCACGGAGAGGCTACAGATGGCTGTGCTGCCCTGCCACGGCTCGGGGAGGGGACGGGAGGACCGAAGAAGCCCCCCTTGCTCCCATCTCCCCTCCCATCCCCCCGTGCCCGGGATTTGTGTCCGCGCAGGGTGACATCATGCTCTGCCGGGGAGGCCCCTCGCCTGGGCTAGGACAGCCCCTATTCTCATGCTAATTGTCCCCCCAGTCCCTGGCAGGCGGCCTTTGTGTGGGGCCATCTGGAAGGGCTGCGCAAGGGGCACAGGGCTACCCCTGCCCAGACCTCCCTTGTGCCAAGACCTACCTGTGCCAGCCGCGGTGCCAGGCTCGGCCCCAGATCCCTGCACACCGTGTGCCGTTCCCCAGCTCCGTTCCCACCTGGAACCTCACCTGTAGGTCGCCACTTCCAGGCTGAGGGACATCTTGAGGTGCATGAGCTGCTGCCTGTCCTCCAACACGCGGGCGATCTGCACCCGCAGGCTCTGCTGCTCCTGCTCCAGGGCCTCCATCGCCAGCTGCGGGTAGCACAGAGGGGTCAGGGGCACCCCAGCCCTGCCTGAGCCCTGCTGGTCCCTGTGGAGCTCGGCTCATCCCCTCAGGATGCTGAGGGACAGGAGCCTGAGTGCTCATTTTAGCATTGGGCGAGCTGAGGATGGGGCAGGGAGAACAGCAGGGCTGAAAGGCGATGGGGAAAGGGTTGCTGGAGGAGGGAGGAAAGGCTGGGGTGATTCAGCGGGACGCCAGCGTGGGAAAGAAACAACTTTCGGGCGAGCAGCCGAGGCCGCGGCACCCCCAGGACACCCATGGCTGGTCCCAGGACGTGGAACAAAGGAAGACCCTTCCACGGGCAGTGTTCACACCATTCCCGATATTTCCAGCCCACCCCGCCTCCACCTCCCTCTGCTGAATCACTTCTGCAGCTGTTGAATGGCAGCTGCAGCAAAGTCGCTCGGAGTTTATGCTGGGGCAGCGGCGGGGGCTGTGGATATCCCGGGATCCTGACCCTGGAGCCCAGCAGGACACGGAGCAGCGGTCCCGGGCAGGGTGCTGGGGGAGGACCCGGTGCCTGGGTGCTGTTCCCCCGCTCTGGGGTGACCCCGGGTCTCTGTTGTGCTGGGGACAGAGATGTCCCCAAGCTGCTTTGCTCTTCCTCCTGCCCTCCCAAGCTGCATCTGCAGCTTATCCAGGACCACCGTCCATCCCTTCCCTGGGTTTTTCCCCTCTGTCTTGCCTCCTTCCATCCATCTCTCCCATCCCTTTGTCCTGGATCCCTCCCCAGGCACCCACAGCCCTCTGCTCTCCCCCTCCCCAGGGACTCAGCTCCTTCCTGGTGCCTTCACTCGCCTGGAACTTTTCTGCCTCCCCGCGCTGCTCTTGCCATTGCTGAGCCAGGCTCTCCTCCAGCATCTCCTTCCGTGCTTTGAGCCCCGCCAGGTCCTTCTCCAGGTGCTGCAGCTGCAGCTGGCTCTGCTGGTTGTCCTCCACCGCCTTCCACAGGTTCTCCTTGGCCTGGCAGAGGGAACCTTCCAGCTGAGATACCTCGGTCTTGTAGGTCTCCACCGCCCCTTTCCAGATCTCCGAGAGCCTTTTGGAGTAGTCCTCCACCTCCACCGGCTGGAAAGCCACCGGTGCACAGCGGAAGCTCTCCAGGCTGTGGGAGAAACTCGCGATCTCCTGGTCCAGCCCCGCTTTCTCCTCCTCGTGCACCTCCAGCAAGGTTTCCACCTCCTTCTCCAGCTGCACAGCTCTCTCCTTCAGCCAGATCTGTGCTCTCCTCTCCTCCTCCAGCTCCTTCCTGCTCAAGGACAGCTGCTTCTTCGCTTCTTCTCGGGCTGCCTGCTCCTTCTGGCACCTGCTTTTCACCTGCTGGACCTCCTCGTAGAGATTGTCCCTGGCCAGCTCGGCCGTGCACTTCTCCCTGAAGGCGTGATCCAGCGCATCCCGCAGGGCTCGCAGCTCCTCCTCGTACTTCACCCGCCACGAGTCCCCGGCCGGGCTGCTCTTGGTGTTCTGGATTTCAGCTCGCAGCACCTCGTTCTCCTCCTCCAGGAACTTCACGCGGGCCAGGTACGCCTCCAGCCGCTTGTTGAGGTCCCACATCTGCAGCGATTCCTCTCCCAGGGCTCTCGCCCCTGCGAAACTTTCCGTGCTCAGCATCGGCGCTGCCGGAGGATGCCGGGGCTCTGGAGCCGGCACTGCCAGAGGAAGACGCCGGGTGAGGAGGATGCCGGGGAGAACGCCGAGGCAGAGTGGGAAGGCGGGGAGGGAAGCGAGTGGCTGGGAGCAGAAAGGAGCGCAGCTATTCATACTCTGCGATGGCGAGTGGGAGGCCCCCGAGACCCGGACGAGCAGCCGGGTTTAACCCTTGCACAGCCGGGCCGACTCCAGCCCACGTGGGCTCGACGCTGAGCTCTGATCTGGCAGCCCTGAGGAGCAGCAAGGTGCTCCTTCCCGCTTTGGAAGGGTGACTCGAAGGCTTGGATCCTTTCCCGGCGTGGCTCGGCTGGGAATACCCTCCCTAAATCCTGAGTGCCATGCCAGGGAGCTGGAGGGCCGCCGTGGGGCTCAGCGTGGAGCTTGGGAGTTGTCCAAGGGCAGTTGGCAGATGCCCATCCTGAGGGTTTGGCTGCAGCATCCCTCGGTGGGAGCTTGTCTGCCCCGTGCTGCTCCAAAGCCTCGGGGCAAGGGAGCCCCAAAGGAGCCCACCGAGGGTGTCACAGTCCCGGGGAGGCTGCACCGAGGCCATGGGTGCCTCTTGGTGCCCGGGGCTGTTTTGGGCTCAGCACAAGGCGCGGCAGGTCCGGTGCCCCGGATCCATCCGTACGGAAATCCCTCTGCAGAGGCAGAAGAGCCTCGGGGAGCAAAGCCCATCATCCCAGCTTGGGGCGCTGCATCCAGCTGTGTCCAGCTGCAATCTTGCCTCTTTCCAGATGTCCGCGGCGGGATGTGCTGAGCGGATCCGGGAGCCCAACGGGGGCTGCTCCTCCGGCAGCCTCCGAAATTCGGCTCTGCCTTTGGCTTCCGTCAGAGCTTTCACCCGCGCGGTCAAGAAGTCACGATCGAGATTGGAATCGCTTCACGGGGAGCATTTGGGAATGAGGATTTTTTATTTTCTCTTTTTATTTACCCCAGATGACTTATTTGGGGGAAGGGCAGTGCGCTGGCAAGGGGCGGAGATTCAAAAATTCAAACTCGGGAAGTTTCTGTGAACAAAAGAAGCAGGAAAATGTCATTTGGGGAGAGACTTGTTGCCAGCGTTTTCTCCCGGGAGACGGTGTTTTTTTTCCCACGGGAGGGTCCCTGCTATGTCCTCACCAGGGTAAGGAGGACAGGAATGTCTCCTCCCGAGCTGTCCCACGGGGCAGGCTCTAGGCGATCGCTTCTGGAAAGACAAGCAACAGTCCCCTCTGCTGGCAAAGGCCACCCAGAGCCGTCCCCGAGCTCCTTCCAGCCTCGCACATTCGGGAGCTGCTGGGGGTCTCACGCTCCCCATGTGGGGGAGCAGCAATAGGGGGGGGTTCCAGCACCCCCTCGGGGTTTTCCCCTCGTGCCTGGATGATGGGACGGCGGGGGGGATGACCCGGCGCGGGGGTCCCCAAAGGCATCATCTTTCCGGCTCATCTCCGGCCAGACATCCTGTCTGGCTCCTTGGCCCGGCTCTGGTTTGCCTCTCACAGCCAAGATTGAAATGCCATTAAGGAGCACAGGGAGTGCTGAGGTTGAATAATTGATCTGGTGTCCCCAGAGCCCTGGACAGTGGGGTGATGAAGCCCTGCTGCATATCTTTATCCTCCTCCTCCTCCTCCTTATTTCCATAACACGTCTGCTCCAAAGCTGGCCTTCCCTGCTGCCTGGCTGCTCCCACTTTCATCCTTTCCACCTCCTCTTGGGTGTCCCTGGGATGTCCAGGTGCCCCCAAAAGTGGTGGCTGCTGCAAAAAGACCCCCAGTGCTCGTGGCTACACTGGGAGGTGCCGTGGGAGAGAGCCTTTCCTTCCTCTCTGGCCTTGTCCCCCTCTTCTTCCTCCTGCCTTTTGGGGTTCTCCATTGTGCCTGGTCCCCTCTCTGTCAGCCAACAGCAGGGCTCAGCAGGATGGTCCAAATCCTGCAGCCCAGGGAGGACTCAGGATCCCCAGGAGTGTTGAGGAGTCCCAGTGCTTCCCTGCCTGTGTGGGCAGAGCTGGGGGGCACCCTGGAGTGTACAGGTGTGTGTATCCCTCCCTTCTGGGGTGTGCTTGGGGTTGGGAGTGACTGAGGATGGGGACATCTGTGTTCCTGGGGGATGCCTGGGGCCAGGGGACTCTCAGACTCTCAGAAGGGGGATGTTCATTGCCCTGAGGGAGGCTCATGGTCAGGAGTCTCTCAGGAGGGGGATGCCCATATCCCTGGGGGATGCTTGAGTTCAGGACACCCTAGGATGGAGATGTCAGTGTCACTGGGGATGCTGGGGATCAGGACACCCTAGGATGGAGATGTCAGTGTCACTGGGTGACGCTCAGGGTCAGGAGCCTCTCAGGAGGGAGATATCTCGACCTCTGGGGAGTGCTTGGGGGTCAGAACCCCCTGGGAATGGGTTGTCTGTGCCCCTGGGGAGTGCTTGGAGTCAGGACTCCCTGGGATGGCACCTCTGAGGGGTTCTCAGGGTCAGGACCCCCCGGGAATGGGAGGTCTGTGCCCTCTGTCCCCATGGGGAGCTCGGAGTGGCCGTTCAGCAGTGGCAGAGGTTTGTGGGGTGACAGTTTGAGGGTGTCCCAGCCCCGCAGCCCAAGGGTGGGAGCTGGCACGTGCTTGGCACGGGGTGCATGGCACGGGGTGCATGGCACGGGCTGGTACGTGACTTTGAGCAGGGCAGGAGGAGGAGGGGGAGGAGGAGGAAGCACAGCTGGGCACTGGGGCCCTTCCAGCCTGAACACAGCTGGGGCTGGAGGGCTGTGCTGGTTGGGGGTTCCTGTGGGGCCAGACCCCTTTCCATGCCCTTGGCTACGGGACCTGGGCTAATGCAAAGGGCTGAGCCCCAGCATCTCTGGAGCTGCAGGCAGGGCTGGGGATTCTCTGGTGTCTAACAAAGGTTGTGCCCTGCTCCTGCCTTGCTCCCCTCTCTTCTCTCCTGCCCCTTCCAGGAGCTGGATGTCCCAAAGACTTCGCCCCATCGATGCCAACAGTCAGGAAGGACCAGGAGCAGCCCTGGGAAGGAGCTGGCAGAGCAGCAGCCCTGGAGAGTTCCCTCCGAGCCAGCAAGGAAACCCCAGGCTTCCCGGAACATTTGCTCCCAATTAGGATGGGGGACGCTCCTTGCTGAGCAGGCACTTCGCGGTTCCCCCAGCCGCGAGCCCTTTCCCACAAAGTGCATTTTTTGCATGGATTTCCCATTCGGGTGCAGGATGTGACCTCATGGGTTGGGTTTAGGGGGCAGCCCTGGGGTTTCACCTCTGTGCAGAGCAGAGCACTGTGGTGTGAGTGTCCGAGCATCACCCTCTGGACTCTCACCCCCCCGAACCGCTCCGCCACCGATTCTCACTCTGCCGCCTGCAATTATTTCCCAGGGCGACAAATGATTAATTCTGCTCAGGAGCTGCGGCTTTCTGCAAACTCACCCGAGCAATTCCCTGGCAGGCTCCGCGCCGCCCCCCCGGGCAGGGAATGCTCCGTGCCAGGGAAAGTTTGAGCGAGATCTGGTTAAAAAAAATCCCTGATGCCAGCTCCTGGGTGCTGCCCTTCGTCAAGGGGCTTGAATCTGCAAATGAGGCGTCCCAGACCTCGCTGGGTGCCCAGGTCCCCACACATTCCTCCAGGATCAAGCATTCCAACCTAAAGATGTATAAATTATCCTGACCCTGACGCAGATGCAGGTGGGTAAACTGAGGCACGGCATCTCTCTGCTGTACCAAACTCGGCTGTGAGTGCTGTGCTGGGGGCTCGGGTCTGGCTGCTCCCACCACCCTTTCGGGGCTGGCAAAGCCCTTGGGTTCCTTCAGCCCTCGGACGGTGCCTCCACCGACCTCGGCCTCGCAGCAAAAGGGCTTTTGCATGACAAAGCCTCTGCTGGCTACCGGGACCCCTGCCCGTGGCCCCCTCCCCATCGATATGAAGCTGCCAAATTGGAGGAATAACCATTCCAAGGGCATTCCCATGCCATGGCGGGGTCTGTGGTGGGGACACCCCCCATTCTCTGGCGGGGTCCAGGGCAGCCAGCGCCGGCTGCTCCCCCAATTCTGCTGCATTGGGTTAACAGCGTGCCCGGGCTGAGCATCCTCCTCTCGTGCTGGGTTTGCCAGCTGCCAGGAGGGAGGGACGGGGAGGGACAAGGAGCCTGCCAACACCGTAATATCTTTTTTTTTCCCCCCCCCTTCTTAATTAGGGGAAGGAATAAATATAAAAGGAGGAGGGAAAGGGGAAGGGAGAAAGAAGAAAAAAAAAAAAAAAAAGAAGAGTGGAGGACACGGATACGCACAGAGAAGCCTCTTTTCTCGGTGCCTGCACTTATGCCTGGTGCAGCTCCTTCTCAGCCGTCCTGCCAACCTGCTGCCGCCCGCTGCCCGCGCTGCCCCGGAGGAGCCGCAGCTCAGCCCCACGCCGGGACCCCGGAGCAGGGGAGCCCCCGCCGTTCCCCCCGCTGCACCGAGGGGCCCCCGCCGCGGGGCTGCCGCCGCGCACGGAGCAAGGTGGGCTGCGAGGAGCTCGTGGGGCCGCCGGTGCCCCGGTACCGGGGCTGCCCCGGGCGCTGCGGTGTCCCCCGTGGCGCTGCCGTACTGCGCTTTTCATTTCGATATCGCGTTTCACCTCCGCACGGGCTGAAAGTGAGACGAGACCTGAGGCCGGCGTGGGGATGCCGAGAGGTTCCCCGGTGCTTTTCCCCGCGGGGGACACAGAGCATCCTCCTGCCATGCAGAGGGGGATGCTCGGGGCTGCGGGACCCCACGGTGCCGCTTCGGGGACGTTTGTCCTTGTCACCGACCCTCCCGAGCGCTGCATCGCGCTGCTGGCTTTTTCTAAAGGGGGCAGCTTGTAGCGGCTCCGCAGCGCCGGAGGCAGAGCGGGGGCTGGGGGGGCTCTTTGCGAAGTTGGAAGGAAAAAGTATTTTGGTGCTGCTGCAGCCTGGAGCCCAGCCCGTCCCCTCCAGCAGCGCGGCTCGAGGGTGTTGGGGAGAAGGGGAATTTTCCGGGCTGTTTCAGCAGCTGCTCCTGGTTTTGGGAGAGGGGTCATGGATCCGGGATGGGTCTGCTGTGCTCCGTCAGGGGGAACCTCCCCGTCTGTCCTGCAGAGTCTCTGGCCGGGTCCTTGTCCCAAGGAGGCTGCAGTCAGGGTATCAGTGGAAAGGGAAACTGAGGCACGGAGCTGGGCAGGGATCTGGCTCTCCCCACCCCCCCCGTCCTGCCCGGTCATGTCGCTGGGCTCAGGGGCAAAGCTGCCCGGTCCCCGGGGGGGCTGGGGCCGAGCCCAAGGTTTGGGATGGCTTTAGGGCACCGCCGGCTCTCCCCGTCCTGCGCCAGCTCTCCGGGCTCTGCCCCCACCCTCTGCTGGTGTCCACTGGGGGCGGCAGGAGGGGCCGGGGGAATTTTTTCAGGATTTTCATGGCTTTTTCCAACGGATCAGCCCCAGTGTGAACGCCAGATCCACCGTGGGGTGTTCCGGGGAGAGGGAATTTTACTGTAGTTCCTTTCCCGTCCCTCAGCCGGAGCATTTCGTCCCCAGGATGAAGGGGCTGCCCTTGAGCATCCCTGCCAGGGACCGCTGCTCCTGTCACGCCGACTTCTCCTATCTCAGCCCAACCCAGAACCTGTTGCTCTTCCTTTTGGCCGTCCGGGGGGTGGGAGAAACCTCCCTCTGCCCCAGCCTGGAACCTTTTCCATCTTCTGGGCTCAGGCATGGCAGGGGGAGGGTGAGTAGGATATTTTAGGGCTCCTTTTCAGGGAATGTCTTTAGACTGGGAAAACTGGGAGATGGGGTAATTTTGTGCTGGGAGGGGGGAGACGCGGATTTGGGCTGGGTCCCACCTGAACTGCAGTGCTGAAATCAGGGACCTCCCTTCCTCCACCCCACACTGCTGTCCCACCTCGTGCCTCAGTTTCGCCCCCAGAGCCGGGAAAGGCGGGGATGGGTGTGCAAATCTTCCACGTGTGCGTGTGACACACTTACACAGGGGGACACGTGCTCGTGTGTCCCTGGCGGCTCCTGCCGGGTCTGCTCCCAGCCCCGCAATCTCCCCAGGAGCCCCTCCGCTCTCCCGGACCCTCCTGCAACAAGGAGTCCCTTTCTCCCTGTTAGGGGGGGAGGGCGAGGGGTTCTGGCAGCTGGAGGGACCCCCCCGTTCTCCCCACCTGCTTCCGGCCTTTTAAGCTGTGCCAGCAGCCGCTGCCAAGAGGCTGCCGGGCGCTCCCCGCGCATCCCTGAGCTGGTGTGTGCCTGGCACGGCCCCGCTGCGGGGACCCCTCCGATGGCACCGCTCCCTCCCGCGGGGGTGGGCACGGATCCTGGACTCTGTTTGCAGCTCCGGGGTGGGTGGGTGGGTTGGGGGAGGGCGGGACGGACGCGGCGCGGCCACGAGCGGACCTGGGGCTGCGGTTCCGTCCGGCAGCCGGGGCGGCAGCGGCGTGTCCGGAGCCCTTTGCTGGTGGGGCTGGGGCTGGAGCGGGGCCAGGCTGTGCCGGCGGCTGCTGACTCATTCTGCAGCTGAGCATCCCTGGAAAGCCACCGCTCTGCTCCCCCCCCTCCTCCAGCTCGCTGCGGGCTGGCAGGGCACCTTGGGAGCAGGGATGAGCAACCATCACGTGGAGGGGACAAGAGGCCGCGGAGAAGAAAACCCCTCTCCGGAGATGAAAAGGGACACCCCCCACGGCCATCCACTCGCAGCATCTCCTGCCTTGAGCCCTGGACCAGTTGGTGCAGCCCCAGATCCTGCAGGTCCCGTGTTCGAGGAGCCAGCCCTGAAAGCTGGTTCAGAGCTCAGGGGAGAAAGAAAGATCAGTCCTGTCCCAAAATAGACTTCAGCTCCATTTTCTACCTGGTTTCACACAGAAATGGAGGTTAGCTGGCCGTGCCGTGTGCGTGCGTGCCTGTGTGTCTGTCTGATCCCGGCAGCTCCTGAGCTCTGAGCTCTCTGGGACAATTGAGACTCACAAGCTGATGCCATTATAACCATTCAACGGTTTTTGGCTGCCTTTCCCCAGTCCTGCTCCCAGCTTCTCCCTCATAACTTGTGGGTTGAAACATTTTCCATTTGTGGAAAACAGGAAAAATACCCAACACAAAAATCCAACCCCAAACCCCAAACTTGACATCTGAGGGTCTCTTGTCATCGTGGGACTCCAGAACCCATCACCCATGGGCAAGGTGGGTTTAACCCTTTCCACATCTCATTCCCAGTGCCAGCACACAGGCCCAGTCAGGGATGGGCACAGGAGGCAAACACACACTCCAGCTTGCCCAATTCCTCTGCAGTTTTATCACTTGGATTTCCTCCCCAGGGCTGCTGTCCACGCCACCACGGCGCCTTGGGGATGGCAAGAAAAGGTGCCTGTGACAAAAGCCTTCCTCGCTTGGCTGCCCAGGGGGTGGCACCAGCCCCTGTACTGGAGCCTGGCCACGGCTGCCACGCAGGAGGGTTTTGTCCCTTGATCCAGAACCATGGGGCTGCATTCAAAATATCTGTCCAGAGCACAGAAAGCTCCTGGCTTGGCCCTGGCATCACTGGCCAGGTCCTGGGCAATCAAGCTTTGGCTGCTCATGCTGAGCTCCTGCTCGGGACGTTTGTGGCCTGCACAGGATGGTCGATGTCCACAGGGTGTGGTGCCAGGGGTTGTAAGTGCACTGAGTTTTGTGTTAGGAGCTATGCAAGCATAGTGCCTTGTTCTGTGGGCTACACATCCATGGTGTGTGGTGCCAGGGGTTCTGTGTCCATGGTGCCAGGGGCTCTGCATCCATGGTGTGTGCTGCCAGGGGTTCTGTGTCCATGGTGCCAGGGACTGTGGTTCCATGGTGTGTGGTGTCAGGGTTCTGTGCCCATGGTGTGGGCTGCCAGGGTTGTATGTTCATGGTTCCAGGGGCTCTGCACCCATGGTGTGTGGTGCCAGGGGCTGTATGTCCATGGTGCCAGGGGCTCTGCATCCATGGTGGGTGGTGCCAGGGCTGTATGAACATGGCTGTACATCCCCTGGAGGTAATTGGTGCTGGAGTGTAGGTTCACAGTGTTTGTGAATACAGGGCTGTATTCACACCCTCTCCCTGGAGCAGTGCTCCCCTGGGTTTACTCCAGGAACAGTGCTTGAAGAGGGATGCAGTGACCAGGACAGCATCCTGTCAGGCTGTCCCTGGACATGGGCTGTCTAAGCTGCTTCTGTGGCTGCTGAAATCAATACAGTGCAAAGAGCTCATAAATTACAAAGCTGCTCCCAGTCTCACGGTGCTCTGTTCCCAGGCAATGGCACGATGCATCCCTGGCATGGGAGGCTGAGAAGCCTCCATCCCCCAAGGAGCCTCTGCAGAGGGGTGAGGGGGTATTGGAGCAGTGGGATTTCCCCACATTCTCAGCATCAGTGTCCTCTCTGGATGGACAAGAGCAGCAAGACTGCAAGGGCAGCTGGAGCCCCCCACGATATGCCCACCCCCCCCTGTGCTGCTCCCCAGAGAGAGCTGGGGGCTGGTGATAGCAGTGCTGGCCACTGGGCTCTCCTTTCAGCGCTGGTCCCCAGCCCGCCGGTGAGAGCCCTTTGTGCCAGGCAGCCTGAGACAGGCCTGGGACATAATGACTGCTTTGGTCAGCCTTGGTTTTCCCAGCCCGCGCGCAGGGAGCCTCCAGCGTGAGCTGAATGGCAAAGAAGCCGTCCTGCTCCTTCCCTCCCCCTCTGCCCCGTGCTTTGTGTGCTCTGGGCTGTCCCCTGGCTGCTCACTGACCTCAGCTCCCTCCACAAGCCACCCCTGGCAGTGCACACGTGCACAAGCGCACACACACGCGTGGGCACCCCTCCAGGTGTGTGCCCCCCTCCAGGTGTGTGCCCCCCTCCAGGTGTGTGCCCTCCTCCAGGTTTGTGCCCCCCTCCAGGTGTGTGCCCTCCTCCAGGTGTGTGCTCCCCTCCAGGTGTGTGCCCTGCTTGCTCCCTCACCTCCCTCACCACCTCTTTGCTGATCAAACACCCGCTGAGGTTTCCAGACCAAACCCTTCCTGAGGTTTCTCACGGTGGCACCGTGGGCACACGGCCCCGGTGCTGGCATCACCTCCCTGCCCACTGCAGCCGGTGCTTGGGCTGAGACCATCAGTGCTCTCCGGGCCAGGCTGGGCTCTGCTGTCCCCAGGGGACCCAGCTCCTGGGAAAGGTCAGAGGGGCTGGATGGCACCCAGTGCCTCCCAGCCAATGCTCCTGGTTGCTCATATTGTCCTGTTCCTCTTGTGAACCAGGGCACATTTCCTTCCCTTCCCTCTCCTCGCCACTGTCCAAGGGTCCAGGTTACCCTGAGGCCAGAGCTGGCCTCTCCCTCTGTTCCCCAATGCCACATGCATTCCACCCCCCCCACACATGGGCTGGAGGATCTCCTCAGCCATTCCCCTTCATGAAGGGACGGGAGATTTTTGGTGCTTTTATGGATTGTGAGCACAATTGGTGGTTTTTGCTCCCCCCCCTGCAGGGCAGAGCATGGCCCCAGCCCTCCCACTGCTGCTACTGCTCTGGCTGTTTGTCCCCACCGTGGTCTCAGAGGTGTTTGGCCCTGGAGATGGCACAGGTAACTCGGCATCATCGGCCACATTCGTGTAACTCCCTGCAGTGGAGGTGTCGGGGGGGCCCTCACACCCATCCTGCTCACAGCTCCTCTCTTCTCCCACCCAGAGGACCTCAAGGCTCTGCAGGTCTCCATCCCACGCCACCCAGCCCTGGATGCCGTGCTGGCAGGAGACATCACCATCCCCTGCCTCATCACTTACCTTGGCCCCAAGCCCACCGCTGGCACCGGTGGCCGCCGGGCAGTCCTGGGAACCCCCCGGGTCAAGTGGACCTTCATCTCTGAGGGCAGGGAGGTGGAGATCTTGGTAGCTCGGGGGGACAGGGTGAAGGTGAGCGAGGACTATCGGCTGCGCGCCTCCCTGCCCATCTTCCACCAGCGCTACACCAACGCCTCCCTGCTGCTCACCGAGCTGCGCCCCAACGACTCGGGCATCTACCGCTGTGACGTGCAGCACGGCATCGAGGACGGCCACGACATCCTCCACGTCAAAGTCAAAGGTACTTCAAGGTGGGGAGTGCTGGGTGCCCTCTCCTGGCTCAGCAAATGCCTCCCCTGGGTGCACCTGCACCCACATGGGTGGGGGCTGCCGTGAAGCCCCTTGCCCATGGCCGTGTCTGCCCCCAGGGGTGGTGTTTCACTACCGGGAGGGCTCCATGCGCTACGCCTACACCTTTGCCGAGGCGCAGGAAGCTTGTGCCCGGATCGGCGCCAGCATCGCCACCCCCGAGCAGCTCTACGCTGCCTACCTGGGGGGCTATGAGCAGTGTGACGCCGGCTGGATCGCCGACCAGACCGTCAGGTGGGCGCCGCAGCTGCCCAGGCATTGTGCCCATGGCCTCACCCGGTCATTCCCCCACGAGTTCACCAGCCCTCCCCTGTGCTTTCCTGCCTCAGGTACCCCATCCAGACTCCCCGTGAGGCCTGTTATGGAGACATGAATGGCTTCCCTGGGGTGAGGAACTACGGAGTGGTGGACCCAGAGGACATGTACGATGTGTACTGCTACGCTGAGGACCTCCCAGGTGCCCGTGATGCCACCAGCCATCTTTACTCTCCTCCGCTTTTGCTCCCCCACTAACTTGCCCCGGTAATCTGCTGTAAACCCAAGTGAAGAAGCTGCCCTGAGCTGCAGGTGCTGTCTTTCAGTTGTAGGGATTTGCTGTGCTGCTTCCTAAAGCATTCCTGGTTCAGTTTGGTGGGGTGTGGGGCTATCTCCCTCACAGCAGGCAGTGTTCAGGCTGGGGTGTGCCCACAGTGATCTGCCCCAGACCAGCAGCACGCTGTGTTAGGTGGTTTGGGGTTTGGTTATGCGTGTGCCGTGCTTTGCACGACATGCAGGGCTGCAGATCCCCAAGAAGCTCCCCACTGGTGGTGGCAGCTGCTGTGGGATCTGTTGGGTGGTGCCAGGCAGGTGGCAGGGATGAGGGACATGTTCCTCGTGTGCAGGGGACGCTGCTCTGGGACAGGGAGACAGGAGCAGTCATGGGGGTTGATATGTGCTGTACCTTTGGGCAGTGGTCCCCAGCCCTCCCCCCAGTGTTCACTCGGCTTGCAGGCCTCCTGAGAAACCTCCCACACATGGATTGTTCAGTGCAGAGCGTGGATCTGCTCCTCTGCAGTCCCGTTCATGGGTGCTTCAAAGTCTCAGGGCTGTTTGCAAGGGCAGGAACCAATCCCACGTGGCGTGAGAGCTCCAGTTATGCCTGCACTGTGGCTTTCTGTGCATGTGCAGGGAGGCAGGGAAGCAGGCAGGGATGCAGGCAGGGATGCAGGGAAGGATGCAGGGATGCAGGGATGCAGGCAGGGAAGCAGTCAGGAAGGCAGGGATGCAGGCAGGGATGCAGGGAGGGAAGCACTCAGGAAGGCAGACAGGAATGCAGGGAGGGATGCAGGCAGGGATGCAGGGAGGGAAGCACTCAGGAAGGCAGACAGGAATGCAGGGAGGGATGCAGGCAGGGATGCAGGGAGGGATACAGGGAGGGATGCAGGGATGCAGGCAGTGATGCAGGCAGGGATGCAGGCAGGGATGCAGGCAGGGAAGCACTCAGGAAGGCAGACAGGAATGCAGGCAGGGATGCAGGATGCAGACAGGGATGCAGGCAGGGATGCAGGCAGGGAAGCACTCAGGAAGGCAGGGATGCAGGGAGGGATGCAGGGATGCAGACAGGGATGCAGACAGGGATGCAGGCAGGGATGCAGGCAGGGAAGCACTCAGGAAGGCAGGCCTCCTCCAGCCCCTGCTGTGCCTCCACACTCTGGACTCTCCACCTCCACGGCAGCTCCTGAGCTCGTGCAGGGAGTGGAGGAGGTGAAGGGGCTCCCTCAGCCCATGCCCCACTCCCCAGCTCTGACATCTCCTTCCTCTCTTGGCAGGGGAGATCTTTTTGGAGACGGCCCCGGAGAGGTTCACTCTGGAGGAGGCGGCGCAGCGCTGCCGGGCGCTGGGCGCGGAGCTGGCGAGCCCGGGCCAGCTGTACGCAGCCTGGAACGCGGGGCTGGACGCCTGCAGCCCCGGCTGGCTGGCCGACGGCAGCGTCCGCTACCCCATCGTCACCCCCCGGGAGCGCTGCGGTGGGGCTCTGCCGGGAGTCAAAACCATCTTCCTGTTCCGCAACCAGACGGGATTCCCCGATGCCCAGAGCAGATACGATGCGTACTGCTTCCGAGGTAAAGAGGGACACCCCTGGCCCGCAGATGCTCCCAAGCAGGGACCAGTGGGAGGCTCGGGAAGCCTCCGGGAGGGATGCATGGCCCCGGTGGGTGTGCTGGGTGCAGCAGAGCCGTGGCGTCCTGCAGGGCAGGGCTTGTGTCGGGATCCCTGAGTGTTCTCTGTCCCGCGTTGCTGTCGGGGCGGAGCAGGGGGGTTTGGTACCGTCTGAGCCTGCTGTGCTAGGAAGTGATGCCTTGCATGCCGATAGATCGTGATAGGGGAGGCATAACCTGCATGGTCCTGACACTGCATGCTGACACTTCTGATAGAGCAGGGATGCCCTGCATGGTCCCAACAGTGCATGCTGACACACTGTGGCAGAGTAGGGACGCCCTGCATGTCCTCAGTACTCCGTGCCACTTCACTGTGACAGAACAGGGATGTCCTGCATGGCACCGTGGGTCTGTGTGAGCTCCGTGGGCATGGCTCCAGGAGGGGTCATCCTCCAGGGCTGCCGGCCTGGGGAGCACTCCTGGGTCCCTGGGGCTGTGGGACACAGCCTGCCAGGCTGGTTTGGGGTGACAGCTCCCGCGGTGGGCAGGAAGGAGGCCTGTGGGCAGCATCGAGGCACTGCCTGCAAGCCACGAGGCAGGACAGAGGCTGGCAGGGATAAGGGGCACAGAAGGAAGAAGAGCTGTCCCTCCACTCCTCCTGCCTGATCCCACATCTCCGTTTATGTGCTCAGGGCCATGGGGGCTCACAGTATGGGGATGCTGTGCATCTCTGTGACTCAGTTTTGCCATGTCTCAGCAGGGAAAGCCATGGGTTAGGCAGGATGGACCCGTCCCACGATTCCACAACCCCTGTAACCCACTAACTCCCCATGCATGTCTGCCCTCCCCGGGGTGGGGATGGGGGTGTAGAGAAGGATCCCCTCAGGGAAGGGAATGCAGGGTTTAGGATCTGGCCCCACCATGTGCTGGCAAGCCTCACAACTCCTACTGGGGCTGTTTGCTCTGACAGCTCTGCCAGCACCCGGGAAGGCCTGATCCTCCCCCATGCTGGCCCTGTATAGAAGGGGAAGGGGAGGCTGAGGAGAGCTGGGTCCCTACTGGGGTGCCAAGGCTCCAGGCCTTCTCTGGGGTGAGGTCATCTCTGCCTGTTGTGGAGCCAGGACAGGGCAGTAATATCCCACTTTCTTTCTGCCCACAGAAGGGACAAACTCTTTCCCTGAGGCTGCAGGAAAATACCAAGCCCAAGAGCCCGAGGAGAATCTCCTCCAGGAGATTGTCACAGTGGCAGAAAAGCTGGAGGAGCTGCAGCTGCCCAGAGCGCAAGTGGAGATTGAGTCGCGAGGGGCTATTTACGCCGTCCCTTTCTTTGAGGACACTGATCTGGGAAAGCCAAGCCAGTCCCCTGAAGATGAACTGGGGCCAGGGGCCTGGCACCCCCCACTAGCTACCTCTGTGTCCTCAGGTCACCCCACCTCTGCATCCCCTTTCCCCACAGCCCTGGCCATCCCCGAGGCAGGTGTTAGCTGTGGTGCTAAGCTGGGGAGCCCATCCCCTGCAGAGGAGAGTGGGGGGACAGGGACAGTGGGGTGAGGACTGTCCCACACTGGTTGGTCGAGCAGCTGCTGTGGTGGTGCCAGGGCTGGGACACAGAGAGCAGCCACAGAACGGAGGTGTCAGGGTCACAAGGACAGGTCAGAGGCACCTGAGGGTGCCTGGGTCACCCCAGCTGTCCCCATCCTTCCAGTGGAGGCAGGACCCATGGCCAGGGCACCGGTGTCTTGGTGTAGGGCTGTGCAGGGACATGGGGACATCCGTGTGTCCCTTGGCTGGAGTCCAGCAAGCAGGGTCTGTGCTGGACCAGGGTTTAGCAGCACAAGGAACTGGAGAAGGGAGCTGGCAGCTGGAGGGACATGAGGCAAGGTGCAGCAGTGAGGGGCTGAGCATGGCCCCCATCACAGGAAAGCCGGGGCTGGGCTTGGCAGTGGCCGGGCCAGAGCTCAGTCAGCCGTGCCGGTTCAGAGGGGACAGTGTCACACGGGCTCGGGGCCACTTCCATCTCCCTGCACACCTTTGTGTGAGCAAGACCGGCAGCGCTGGCAGGCCATGCCGGTGCCCGCAGCCCCGTGGTCTGGCTGGCTCCCGGCGCCGGCCTCTCACTGCCTTTCTGCCTTGCCCTTTGCAGAGGAGGAGCAGGGAGCAGCGCCGGGCAGGGGCTCCGGCAGCACATCGGCGGAGAGCCCGGGCGGAGGGCGAGACCCCAGCCAGCCCACGGAGCCAGAGGGACCCACCGGTGCCCCAGCAGGTGACACGGAGCCTCCTGAGGGCTTTTCTCGGCCGCCCAGCCCCGTCGCCCCTACACAGAGCCCCGACCGTCCGCGGGACGCCTTGGGGCGGCCGGCCCACCCTGCCAGCCCTGGGGCACCTGGGCACCGTATGACATCGCCAACCGGTGCCGCTTCTGCCACCTCGACAGAGAGCCGAGAACCTGGCGGGATTCCCCGCCGCGGGCACAAGTCCGGCGGGGCCAGCACCCCCCTTTCTGCCGCTGAAGACGCCGAGCTCTCCGGAGACGTGGTCGAAAGCCTCGGGGCGTCCCCGCTGCCTCCTGCGCCCCCGCAGACGCAGGAGGAGGGAGAGGAGCAGTCGGGAGCCGTGTGGCTCCCCTCGCCCGCGGTCCCTGGGGACGGGAGCACTGTCCCCGCAGTGACACCGTGGCACGCAGAGCTGCCCGGCACCAGCAGCGCACCGGCCCTGGGAGGAGAGGAGGCTGCTCCGCCACCGCCGGGCGCTGACCGCGGGATGCCTGCTGCAGCTTCCGAGGAAGAGGAGGAGGAAGAAGAAGAGCAACCTGCTCCCTCCATTGCAACCGTGGAGGGTTTCCTTGAAGCCGTTCCTGGAGAAGCAGGTGGGACCCGCAGGGATGGCCTCACCTCTCCCCGTACTGACACCTCTGGGGTGGTCCTGGCGGGGACCCCATCGGGGGGCCCAGCCCCCAGCACGGCTGTGCCCCTGCCCGCCCTGCCCACCGAGCGGGCCAGCGTGGGTGCGGGCGCCTGCTCGGCCCGGGGTCCCTGCCGTGCCACCCTTGCCCTCGGGGCAGCCCTCCTGGCTGCTTTCTGGCACTAGAGATAGCCAGCACCTTTCCTTCACGCTGTGCTTCCCTCTGTCTGTCTGTCCGTCCATGTCTCCTCTCTCTTTCTCTCCCTCTCTCTCTCTCTCTCCTCCTCAGCTGGGTAAGGGAAGGTTACAGGTCTGGTGAAGCACATATTTGTCAAACAAATTGGTCTGATCTCTGCATGCACTTAAATCTCTTCTACTTCTGTGAAGTGTTTTAATGACTGTTTCCATGAAAAAGCCCAATAAGCAAAAGGCGGCCCCAGTCCCTGCTCTGACTAACCGTGGTACTAATAAAGGGAATTAAAAGCTTTGTAGAACAAGCATCTCGGCGAGCTCTTCCCTTCATCCTTGCGCCTGCTGCCCGTGCGCCTCTCCCACTGACGAACTAATCCCCCAATCCCGGCCCTGCCAGTTCCCGGGAATGGGGTGGATGGGACACCTGGGAGATCTTGGAGGGGGGTGGCTGCTTTGCACCCTCTGTGTGGCCCCCCGGGACTGACCCTGCACTGCCCCAGGAGGAGGGATGAGGGCTGGACACTGCATGGCGTGAGCAGGGGGACGAGACATGGGGGACACTGATGGGCCATGGGGTGCAGAACCCCACCAAGACCACCCAGCCTTGTGCAGCTCCCAGTGGCCGAGCACCCTGAAATCACTGCAGACCCCTGTGGATCCCCAGCCCCCTGAGCCCCAATCCCCCCACATGGGGGCTGAGATGGGTGAGCAGAGGGAACACGACCTGCTGTGGGTGGGTGCCACCCACCAGCCCCACTCTGGCCAGCCCCTGGGGATGATCCCAGCTTTGATGCCCATCCTGCAGCCAATCCCCTGCAACCTCTGCCCCATCCCGCTCCCTGCAAGGGAATGTGCAGCAGAGGGGACCATGTAGGGTCCCTGCCCCCCAGTCTGGCAGTGCCCTGTCCAGTCCTGTGGCACAAATGAGGCTCTGTAGAGGGTGGCCAGACCCAATGATGGGGGAATCTTCCTTTGGGATGGCTGCCTTTGCCTTGGCAAGGAGAGATACTCGGGAAGAGCCTGCTGTTGACATCAGGGCCCTCAATCACTCATCCTGTTCCGTGCCTCGGTCTGCTGGGGATGAGCTGTACATCCCGAGAGAGCCACTGGCACCTCGTGGGGAGGTGACGCTGCCTGGGGACGGGTGAGGGTGGCAGCATCACCCTTGTCACGTCTCCACTGAGCCAAGGACCATAAGATGGGGCCTCATTAGGCTGGAGTGGGTCAAGGACTCTGTGTCTCCTCTCGGCCGGCGCTGGCAGCAGCCCTTCATCACACTCTTGAGCTGGGCTGGTAGCACACGATGTGCTCTGGGTGCATTAATGACCGTAACGGGTTCGTGGGGAAGGTGCTGGCTGAGTTATCAGCCCTGGCCAGGCTTGAGGTGACACCAGAGGGACAGGCGTGCAGTCACCTTGCTGCCAGGCCGAGGACAAGCGGCCAGGATGTGCCGAAAGGTTTATCTTTATATCGTCTGCATGCTCCCCTCCCAAAACACAATTGCTGCATCACTCCAGGGAAAAGGAGGAGCTGGCCCTGGGCAGAGGGAGTGGGCCAGGAGCTGGCATTGCAATGAGCCCAGTGATGGGGAAAGCATCCAGCTCTCATCTCTGTTCTCTAAGGGGAGGCCAAACCTCAGCTCTGGGCCAGGGTTGCTGAGCTGTTCACATCCAGTGGTGGAAGGGCAGTGTGGGATGGCTCCAGGCACATCATGGTGCACCTGGGACCTTCACTTGCCCCAGAGCTGTGGCCTCAGAGACCTGGCTGCAGTGGGACACTGCAGGGATGAGGCTCTGGCACTGCTGGGCACTGAGGATGTCCCTGAGCCCTGAGCTGAGGACAGCTGCGTGTGCCTTGCAGGTGGCTGTGTCCCCAACCCCTGCTTGAACGGAGGGACCTGCGTGGAGGATGGCGCCCACCTCACCTGCCTGTGCCTGCCTGGCTACGGAGGCAGCAGCTGTGAAAGACGTGAGTCCCCCGGGTCCCACCATGGCCACCCTGGGTCGTCCCTACCCAGCTCCTGCTGCTGTCTCAGCTGCTGAACCAGCAGCCCAGGAGACAGAAATGAGGGGGAGTCAGGAGTTTGGGGTGAGTTGGGCTCATCACCCTGACCCTCTCCTCTCTCCTCCCTTGCTCCCCACCATGGCTCAGCACTGAGGAGGTGCAGCCCTGGCTGGGACAGCTTCCAGGGAGCCTGCTACAAGCACTTCTCCACTCGGAGGAGCTGGGAGGATGCAGAGACCCAGTGCAGGCACTATGGGGGGCACCTGGCCACCATCCTGACCCCCGAAGAGCAGGACTTCATCAACGGTATGTGACAATGCTGCATCCCTCCACCCGTGCCCGGGGACCCTCAGTGCAGGGCTGTAAGTTTTAAACAAGTAGCAAAGAGCCAAGGTAGAGCCCAGCCCTGCAGGGTGAATGGGTACATGGACAGACGTGAGAAGATGGATGGGGACGTGCAGGGACATGGGAACAGACAGGTCCAGTCCTGTCACAACAAGAAAGGCATTAAGGGGCTGGAATGTGATCAGAGAAGGGAAAAGAGCTGGAGAAAGGGGCTGGAGCACCAAGAGCACCTGAGAGACCTGGGGAGGGGCTCAGCCTGAAGAAAAGGAGACTCAGGGAGGACCTTCTCACTCCCTACAATTCCCTAACAGGAGGATGGATAGAGTCACTTGGGGGTCGGGCTCAGCTCCCAGGGAAAAAAGGGACAGGACCAGAAGTGGCCTCAAGTGCACTAGGAGAGGTTTAGGTTGGATATTGGGAAAATTCCTTCACGGAGACTGTGGCCAGGCACTGGCACAGGCTGCCCATTGCTGAAGGGATTTAGGAGACTTGTGGATGTGGCACTGGGGGACAGGGATGCCCTTGGCTGTGGGAGAATGGTGGGACCTGATGATCTTGCAGGCCTTTTCCAACAAAATTCCCTGATCCAGTGCTGGGTGGACAGACCAGGAGAGGGTTGGATGTGTGGAAGTAAATTTGAAGGCAAAGCCATAACCTGCCTGAAATCAGCCTTGGAGGGATGGGGGGAAGGCAGAGGGAGGCAGAGCAGGGGACAAGTGCTGTGGGAATGGGACAGAGAGCCAAGAGGCTGAAGGGACATGAGGGTGAAGGAGGAAGGGGCAGGGAGAGACCTCACAGGAAGCTTCAGAGGCACGAAGGAGCAGGCAGGGAGTTACAGGGCCTGACAGGGACTGGCTGGACCAGAAAAGGGACTGGTAGAGCCAGGTGGGGACTGATGCAGACAGGTGGGGACTTGCGGGGACAGGCGAGGACCTGCAGGGACAGGTGGGGACTAGCAAGGACCTACAGAAACAGGTGTGAACCGGCAGAGCCAGGTGGGGACAGGCGGGGACAGACGGGAACAGGCGGGAACAGGCGAGGACCTGCAGGGACAGGCGGGGACAGGCAAGGAATGGCGGGGACCTGCAAGAACAGGTGAGGACTGGTAGGGCCGGATGGGGACCGGGAGGGACACGTGGGGACCTGCAGGGACAGCTTGGGACCTGCAATTCCAGATGGAGACTGGCGTAGCCAGGTAGGGACCGGCGGGGCAAGGTGGGGATAGGCAGGGACAGGCGGGGACAGGCAGGGACATGCAGGGACAGGCGGTCCCGGGGCTCTGCCGCCCTCTCCCGGCCGGCCCTGTTCCTCCTCTCCGGGGCTGAGGACAGTAAAGGGGTTCCCCGACATCCTTTCCGGGGGTCCCCTTGTCCCCAAACCTCCCAGCACCTTCCCGCTGCAGGGCAAGGGACACCCCCACCTCCCACTCACCCCCAAATCTCCCTGAACTCAGCCTCCAGCACCCGATCAGCCCCCTCCTGACAGGTGGCACCTGGGTGTGCCCCTGTTTCCAACACACTCCCTGTCCCCCAGACCAGTACAGGGAATACCAGTGGATCGGCTTGAACGACCGCACCATCGAGGGGGATTTCCAGTGGTCTGACGGGAGCCCCTTGGTAAGTGGGGCTGCCAACCCTTGTGTGCCCTCGCAGGGGGACACCACCCTGCCTGGCACCCCATCATCCCTATCCAGCCCCGGGGTCTAGCCCCGGGGCCGAGCTTTCAAGCTCCCAAACAAGAGCCACTTGCCTCACCTGGGCTGAGCATCCTCCGGGGAGCCAGAGCCTGGGACTGGGGGTCCCGAGGCCATGCCAAAGGGCATGGACGGAGGTGGCACCTCATTCCTGACGGGGATGTCACAGCCAGGAGGCTGCAGATGGGTGCGTGCCGGTGCAGGGCCACCCCCACACCTAAGGGCTGTGCTGGGATGCCCCGCGCACCCCGTCCCGTCTGTCCCCCCCAGCTCTACGAGAACTGGCACCCCGGGCAGCCCGACAGCTACTTCCTCTCCGGGGAGAACTGCGTGGTCATCGTGTGGCACGATGGGGGCCAGTGGAGCGACGTGCCCTGCAACTACCACCTCTCCTACACCTGCAAAATGGGGCTGGGTAAGCTGTGCCACCCCCCCTTCCCAGGCCGGGGGTCCCCACCCCAAAGAGAGGCTTCCCCAGCACCCCCACAGCAGGGGAGCAAGTCTTGAGTGTGGGACCCTCAGCCTGTTCGGGCTTTAAAGGATTAATTCCGGGCTCGGGGGGGGTCTCTCCGCGGCTGAGTGCAATGAGCCCACCCCCCTTGCAGTGCAGTGCGGGCCCCCCCCCGCTCTCAGCAACGCCCGCGCCTTTGGCAAACCAAAGCAGCGCTACGAGATCGGCTCCACCGCGCGGTACCGGTGCCGGCACGGCTTCGCCCCGCGCCGCTCGCCCATCATCCGCTGCCGGGAGGATGGCACATGGGAGCTGCCCCAGCTGGCTTGTCGACCTAGTGAGTGACGGGCTCCCCCCGACCCCCCAGGACGTGCCCATGGAGCTTTTCCTTCACCTGGGACTTCTTGTGTCCCCCCAGGCCTGGCTCAGCCCCCCCCAGTCACTGAGTGAGTCCCTGGGGTAGCAGCCAGCACCTCCCAAAGCCCTGGAGCTGGTGTGGATGGGGACGGCACTGGGACCCCAACACGGACCCCGACGTGGCGTGAAACCTCACTGTGGGGTGTCTGTCCCCTGGTTTGTTTTATATCTGTACAAAGAAATCCTAATGATTAAAGACCCCCTCAAAAGGAACCGACAGGGACCCAAAATGCAGCACAAAGGGAGTTCTGTTCCCAGAGTCACAACAGAGTTGAGCTCAAGGGGGACACCATGGGCAGGGGATGGCAGTGATGTGCCAGCATCACCTCCAGCCTTTTTCTCCCACCTCTACCCCAAGGGCCCTCATCCTGTGACACCCTGGTGGGGGTTGGCATGGGGACATCCAAGTTCTGCTGCAGCTCAGCACCCATCCTGCGGTGTGGGGGGGCTTCTGCATTTCCTGGAAAGGCAGAAGTGCTGCCACAGGCTTGGAGTGGGTGCGTGTTGCCCAATCCCCCTCTCTGTGCTTCTGTGGGTATTAAAACCAGTAAACAGATGGCACAGAGTGGTGGCCTGGTTATTCTGGGGGGCCTGGCACAGGGATGGGACTGGCAGGGCTGCACAGCCTCAAAGTGTGGAGTGTGGCAGCAGTGGAGAGCCTGGACACAGAGATGTCCCCCGGAGCCACAGAAACAGGGAGACACAATCATCCAAAGTGCCTCCCCAGATCCAGCAGCACCGAGTACCAGTCAGGGCTCGAGATGGTGAGACCGGGAGAGCACGTCACCAGTGCCAGGGCATCTCCCCATGCTGTTATTCCCCCTGCACTGTGCCAGATCCACAGCTTTTTATAGTTCTCCTGGGCTGTGTGGAGCAGCAGCACCCATAAAACCCTGAAGTGAAGTGGCCGGAACACAGATAACTCCAACACGGCGCTGGGGATGGAAAGTCCCTGTCAAATTCCCCTCATGGAGAGGCCAGATGGTCCCAGGGGAAGGAGCCAGGCAAGTGTGTGTGTTTGCCATACAGTTTTGCTGTTGCTTTATTAATTGAGAAGGCAACACGCCATTAGTCACACTCGTTAATGCCCAGCTCCAGTCCTCTGCACTTGCACCAGCCAGAGTCATCAGCCAGAGTCCTCATGGCTGTGGGGAGCGAGGATGGGGCGAGGGATTCACCAGGGTCGGGGAATGGGCAGCCTGTGCTGTCTGCTGGGGGCTGGATTAGACCCCCCCTTCCTGGTGCAGCGGTGGGTCTGGCTTCTCCAGTACATCCCAAACACCCCAAAAGCCTCACAGCAGGCTGGGACACGGGCACCCATTCCGTCAGGGGATGCACCAAGAACCCACATCCAGCTCTGTCACTTTACCTGAGGATGCCCGGACCACCCAAATCGCCGGGAGACCACCCCTCCTACCCCGCCTCAAGCTCTCTGCCCAGGTGCTGAGGACTGGTGTCCCACGGCTGTCCCCTCTGCTCAGCCCGCTCTCCTCCCAGTGTCCTTACTTCCCCACGAAGCAGTAGGTGCCGTAGGTCCTCATCTCCTTGCTGGGGAAGCCGAAGCTGCGGACGCCAGGGTCGGGCAGGCCCCCGCAGCGCTCGCGGGGGGTGGTGATGGGGTACCGGACACTGCCGTCCTCCAGCCACCCCCCGTCACAGCGATCCAGCTGAGAAAACTTCCAGGCAGAGTAGAGCTGTCCCACTTTGGCAAGGGCAGCCCCGTGGTTGCGACACGCCTGCCCGGCCTCCTTGAAGTTCAGGTGGCCCCGGATGAAGTAGACCCGGCCTGGGGATGGAGAGGGGACGGCGCAGGTGAGCACCCTACCCGAAAACAACCAGTCTGGGTGGGCAGCAGGACTTGGTGACACTGTGAGAAGGACAGGGGACTGCAGCACTACCTTGGAGAGCAGAGGTAAAGCAGAAAGCGTCGAACCGGTCCTTCTGCTTGTCCCTGGCACCGTAGGTCCGGACTCCGGGCAGGAGGAGGCGGCCACCACATGGCTCCCGTGAGTTGATGATGGGGTAGTGAACGGTCCCATCAAGGATCCAACCGGCGTTGCACCAGTCCAGACCCTCCGTCCAGGCTGTGGGGCGAGAGGTGGCTCAGCACCGGCATTTCCCTCCTCCCCATACCCAGACAGGCCTGGCTTTCGGCCGAAGTGTTATTTTTTTTTTGAATGCTTCACCTTTGTACAGCTGCTGGTAGGTGGCGAGGCGGGAGTCCTGCTGCTCGCAGGCTCGCTTGGCTTCGTGGTAGTTGAATTTGTAGCGCCCGTTGCTGGGCTGGTAAGGGAAGACGACGCCTGGAGGGACAGGGACAGGGTGAGGGCAATGCTCTCCCCAGGGAGGCTCTGACTGAACATCCCTGGGGATTCAATGCTGAATTTAAGCCTGAGGAACAGGGCGATGCAATGGGGGACATGGGTGGAGGCAAAGAGCCGCACACCTCCATTCCAGCCGAGGGTTCCCCTCCCGCCACACCCCCCAGGGATGCAGCCCAACCTCACCCTCAAGGTGCAGCGTGAGTGAGATGCTCTCATCCTCCAGCCCGTTGACGAGCTGGCAGCGGTACCGGCCCTCGTCCTCCAGCGCCACGTCGGTGATGGTGAGCGAGGCGTCGTAGCGGTGGCTGTGCCGCAGGCGCACCCGCGGGCTCAGCGGCCCGTAGTTCTTGTGGTACAGCCCGTTGGTGATGATGATGATGTTCTCCCGGTAGTTGGCCGGCTCCACCTTGCTCCACTTGACGCGGTAGTTGTGGGGCAGGGCTCGCAGGACGCAGGGCAGGGTGGCCGTGGCACCACGCTGCGTGTGCACCGTGGGGTGGAGGGGCTCCAGCAGGTACTGCAGGCGCAGAGGGGCTGCAGCCCCCCAGGCAGCCTCAGCACCGAATGGCCACCAGCCCTCCGACCCCTCCCCGAGCAACCCTCAGCCCTCACCAGCATCTGATGGTTCCTATCGTCCAGCCTGGCTCCTCTTGGTGTCTCCTGCACCTTCAGGAGGCACAGCTCAGCCCCTGCCCTGGCTGCACCCACCCAGCATCTCCTCTCCAGCACCGAACAGCAGTGCCCAGTCCTCCCTGCAGGCCCTGCTCTCTACACAGCCCCACATTCTGCCCCCCAGCCCTGATCCTTACCCAGGCTCCCTGTCCCCCCACCAGGCCCCGTTTCCTACCTGGGGTCCCCGTTGGCCTCTGGAAGATGCCGGACACTGGGGGTGCTGCCAGGAGCCAGAGGCAGCCGAGCAGGAGCAGCCTGTGCATCCTTAGAGCCGGGGGCAGGACGGTGCCTGGGGGGAGTGCAGGGGTCAGGGACATGCAGTGGGACACACCCCAGCTTTGGTGGCTCCTGGAGGACGTGGCCCTGCTCTGCAAGGGCTCTCTGACATTTACTGTGCAGGACACCGACCCCACGGACTGTGCCAACCCTCCTTTCTGGCATCCCCCCGGTCTCTTACCGTGCCCAGACACGTCCTTTGGGGAGCAGCTGTGCCCATCCAACGCCCCCAGCCCACGAGCTGCCCCAGCTCCTGCTGCTTCCCGGCTCCGACATAAACACCCCAAGGTGGGGCCGAGGGTTCTGGGAATGCCACGAGGCTCCTGGGAAGAGGTGACACGGGGACACGGGAGGTGCGAGCAGGTGCTCCCGGCCAGCCCCTTCCCTGTCACCGTCCTGGGGCAGGCAGTGGCCCGGCAGCCCCGTGGCCCCGCGGGCCCTTGATGCCTGCTCCCATGGTGCCGGCCGTGCCCTCACTCCCTGCCCTGTCACCGTCTCTTCCCACTTTCTTCTCTTTTTTTTTTTTCCCTTCCAACACCTCCCCGAGGAGAGCACAGGGAGGAGGAAGCACAATTTCCCATTGTGAGTGTCTTTCTCTTTATTGTTCTGCTCGGCAAAACACAGTGTGCCCGGCTAACAAACATCCCTTTATCTGCAGGCCACAGCTTTGGGAATTCAGGGAAAACGACAGTTCTGCATCGGGCTCCAGCAGCCTCTTGGGCTGGCAAAGCCCCCCCTCAGCATCAGCCCCCAGCGCTGGGACGGTGCTCTCTGATCCCTCAGATAGCAGGGCAATGGTTCATTTGATTCCCCTCTCCTGTCCCTGATGAAGGGATGATGTTCCCATCCCCTGAGGCTCTGGAGGGTTGTGCGAGGGGGGTGCCCTATCACTGGACCTACCCTGCCCTCCAAAAAGGCATCAGAGAGGCTTCCCCATCATCACCTCAGGCCGGGACGCTGCCGGGAGCAAAACACGGGCACACAATGGGGCTGTGTTCTGGGCTCCTGCAACTTCTCCTTCCCCCAGGGTCCATCTCCAAGGGTGGGGAAGCTCTTCTCAAAGGAAGCACAAGTAGTGACTGTCCCCAACATCATCCTGGCCTCACCATGGCATGCACAGCTCAGCAAACACTGGGGAGAAAGGCATCCGGGTGCATGTGAAGCCCCCCCTCGTCCCTCACTGCTCCCCACTGCTTCCAGCCTCTTTCCAAAGAGGGGGAATCCATTTTGACACCAGCAAGCTGAACTGGCAGCCTTCTTCCAGCTCAGAACGGTCAGAGCTTTGGCTCATTGTGGTGAGCAAAAGGTGCTCGTAGCTTTGCTCTCCCCGGGCTGAGGGAGGCTAAACCGGAGCAGCAGCACTGCAAGCTCCTCCCTCGCAGCTCCCCACGGTTATGGGGTGGGTCCGAGGCTCTCCGGAGAGTCTGTCATCTCCCTCCCTCACACTTCCTGTGCCCACGGCTGCACAAGCAGATCCTGCTCTCCCCCAGCAGCAGCTCCAGGCTTCTCGGCTGGAGGATGCTGATGCTCAGCTCTGCGGTACCACAAACGAGCTGAGTGTTTCTCACATTTTTCCCGAGTGAAGGCACCAGCTACAGTCCCCAGCCCTCACAAAACCACAGCAGGAAGCAGAACACTTGCAGGGGCTCACATAAGTGACTCATCCCCCTTCCCCATCCCGCTGGGATCAGGGCATGACCCCAGCCCACCACTGCTTATCTGAGTTCAGAGTTTGGCCCAGTGCTGTGGAAAGGATCACCCAAGTCACGCACACTGTGTAACATCTCTGCTCCTTGTCTCTCCTTCTCCCTTTTTGGGATCTGCACCCACTCTTGGTGCAGTACAAACACCTCTGCAGAATCAGAGGCAGCCAAAGAAAAGCCAAGGAACCCCTCGTGCTCAGCTCCCCCAGCTCCTGGCGTGGGCTCTATCAGGAGCCTCTGACTCTGCTCCTTGCTCTGGTTTTTCAAGGCTCAAATTTTCCTTCTCCCCTCATGGGCCCAGAGGAAATCTCATCCTCAAAGCCCTCTGAACACTCGTTTTCCCTTTTGACCAGGGAATTTGAGCCCAGCTTTGTGGGACTTTGCTGAGCCAGCACCTCCACAGCAGGTCAGTCCCACCACACTTGTGCATCACCCTCCACCTCCTCTGCCTGACCCAGTCCCCAAAAACACCGTGCACACAATGCAGAGGCTGAAACCTCATGCATCCCCCCCACCCCACAGCTCCTGCCCCACCCCAAATCCTCCCACCCACCCTCTCTCACCCAGCAGAGAAGGACACTGACCCCACACACCCCACACACTTCCCAGCACAGTGCCCGGAGCCACCTGATGTGGCAACGCCAGGTATGGAGGCGTGCCAGGGCATCCAGTCCCGAGTTTCCGCGTTGGCAGCGCTGTCCCGCTCCTGGCAGTTCCTCGGAGGTGCGGCAGGCGAGGACAGGACCTGGCAGCCGCCCTGGCGGGCGGAGTTTGCAGTCCCGGAGTGGCTCTCCTCATGCACCCCACTTGCAGGGGTTCACCTGCCCCCCGACATGCCTGAGCGCACAGCCGCCTCCAGGCTCCGGCTCTCCGGGCTGTGCTTCCTCCTCCAAATCCTCAACATCCTCCTCTTCGCCGTGTTTGTGCGGTACAGCACCGAGGGCAGCCCCGGGCAGTGCCCCTGGCAGCTGAACTGCAGCAGGAGAATCCAGGACTCGGGTTTCCAGCAGCCCCGTGAGTACCCGTGGGCACAGAGGAGCCGTTCTGCTCAGGGGATGGCTGGGGTGTCACCCTGCTCGCTTCAGACCTGTCACAGACTCCAGAGTTAAACAGAGAGGGAGCATCAAGGTGCAGGGTTGGGGTACTGGTGCATCTCAGGGGGGGTAAAGCAGACATGTTGCAAGGATTTCTGAAATGCTTGGACAGAATATCCCAAAAGAGGGATATTTGGGTCTAGGACACGTGTAAGAGCAGTGGAGCTCAGAGGGGTGCAGAGCACTCACTCAGAGGTGTGTGCAATGAAAAACTGGGGATCATCATCAGCTGCTCCTGGCACTTTAGGATCTGCAAAGCTCCCCACTGACAGGCTGGGTTTTGCAGTGCTGGGGGATTTACACTGAGCCCCTTCTACAGAGGATTTGGCTCCCTGGGTGCTACCACAGGGTCCAACAGGGGCTGGGGGTCTGCCCTGCCAGGAACATCCTGCTGCACGCTGGGCATCACTGCGGAACTCCTGCCGGGGTAAGGGGCTGCCCCTCACTTTTCTGAGCCAAAGACAAGGTGGTCAATGAGAGAGGAGCTTCAGAGTGCCCTGGCTGAGAGAGAGGAGTGAGTGGAGCCGCTGGGCAGGGAGCTGGCAGCTGGCAGCTGGCAGGTTCTCCCGGTTTCACCTGCCCACGTAACCCCACCCAGGCAGTGACTCATGGAGAAGGCAGGGCCACAGTTGTCAGTCGAAGGGGTACAAAGGACATTTAGCCCAAGTAAGAATCAAGCCCCCTACACTCTGGTTTGCCACCAAATGGCACCAGACTAATCCCAATTCTCTGCTCATCCTTCGTCTCTCATCATCCCGTGAATTGGGATGTGATGCTTTCAGGGGCAGCAGCGAGGTCCCAGGGGTGCTGACATACACCAGGCTGATCTAGTGGGTGCAGACAGCTCTCAGCCACCCCAGGGGGAGTCTGGGCTGTGGGGTGAACCGTGTGAGTGGCCTGAGATATCTGGACAGGGCAGTTGCTGATGGGGGGACCAGGAGCTGCTGCAAAGGATCACATCAGGGATGGCTTTACCTGTCACTGGCACTCCCCACTACAGACCTCCAAGGAAGATCAAACACCAGACCATACACCATGTCTGGTTCCAGACACACATCAAGCAGAGTGAGCCTTCAGCTCCCCAAAGCCTGTTAGGGTAGGGGGTGTCTTAGTCCTGTATTAGTCCTCTTAGTCCTGTATTAGCCCCTGTTGGAGAAGATGAAACAGGAAAACCTTATAAATATGATTGCCTGACAAAAAATTTTGAGAATATGGAAACTATAAGGGAGATTGAAATGAAAGCCAGCTTTGAGATACCAAACCTTAGTTACTGAACAGCTAAAAAAAAATAGTATGGCAAACTGAAAGTAATCCCCTCTTGACTGAACAATCCCCTCTGCTTGCAGACAGGTCCAAAGGGCAGAGAAGACCCTACTAGCTTGGCAGAGGGGGTCCAAAGAGTAGTTTTTAGGGTTTAAAGTGTAACACAGTATGGTAATTGTTATAGGCTGTATTTAAATGCTATAAGATTTGTATCTTGTATTAAATTGGTTAGTGACAATTAGAATATTCAACATAGAGGAAGATTTATTGTATTGTAACGGGAACCTTGCTTTCTTACCCCTTGCTCTCTTACCTCTCTCTTTACTCTTTTTCCTCTTGCCCTCCTGCTCTCAGAGATCTCTCCGTCTGTCCCAACCGTCCTGACCACTGCAGCTCCTCCAGCCCCCTTGGGGACCCCGGCAGGAGGGTGGCTGCACCTCCAGACCCATCCTTGTGCCTCTCCTCCACCAGGTTTCCAGGATTCCCACGTCCAGGTGCTCCTCAGCTTCGGGCTCCTGGTGGCATTCCTCGGCCGCTATGGGCCAGGCAGTGCAGCCATCAGCATCCTCATCATAGCCTTTGCCATCCAGTGGGCTCTTCTCATCCAGGGGATCCTTTACTTCTTCCTCAATGGCAAAATTTACGTGGGAGCTCAGAGGTAAGGCAGGAGGGAGCTGCTGCTGCCCAGATAGATCAGCTCAGCTCAGCCCTGGCACACTGGCTCCCTCCTCTGTAAAACTCACGGCTCTGCTTTGGAGGAGGATGTTGAAGACAAGTGGGTCCAGGCCTCTGGGCTGTGTGAGTACTGCCCTAGTAAGGGCTCTGTAAGTACTGCCAAGGCTGCAGCCAGGCATTTAGGGGGGCACTCTGGCCCCCACCTGCCTCAAGCCCAGCCATCCCTTTGTCACCAGCATCACAAGGCTCTGCCTGTTCACCTTGCAGGAGCAGTGGCATGCAGGGCCAGGGCTGCAGGCTCAGCTCCTGTCCCCGTCCAGCTGTCCCCAGCCCCTGTGCTCATCCCTGGCAGTGCCAGCTCCATGTTTCCTCTCCTTCCCAGCATGGTCAGTGCTGACTTCTGCACTGCAGCTGTTCTGATCTCCACTGGAGCTGTTCTGGGCAGGGTAAACCCTGTCCAGATGCTGCTGCTGGCCCTGCTGGAAGTCATCCTGTGCACTCTCAATGAATACATCCTGCTCAGTCTCATGGGGGTGAGTCAACGACTGGGGAGCCACCAGAAAGGGAGTGGCCCTGGGTTTAGGCTCCTCATGTCAAGTTCTGCCTCGTCTGGAGAGACAAATCCCTTATCCCCACTTCCTGCATGGCTTTTCCATACTCACCAGGTAAGCGACAGTGGACGCTCCTTGACTGTCCACACCTTTGGTGCTTATTTCGGCTTGATGGTTTCACGGGCCCTGTACCAGCCCCACAAGGACAAGAGGAAGAGGGAAGAGCGGCAGGACACGGGGCAGCAGACGGATTTCTTTGCTGTGGCTGGTAAGCAGCTCGAATCCTACAACACCTGAGTCACAGAGCTGGTGGCAGAAGGGTTGTCACCAATATGAGGATAGTGAGGCTGTGGCTTTCACCAGGAGATTCCTGCAAACCGTCAAGGACAGATGTTCTCCACCTCCCCAGGGACCTGTGGTGGGGCTGCACCACCCTCTCCTAGAAAAAGCTTTTCCTTGTGTTCTACCCGAACCTCCCTTGCTGCGAGCTGTGGCCACTTTCATCTCTTGGCACTCGCAAGCAATTTCTATCCCACGAGGGATCAACTCCAGCATCAAGACCTGCCTGTTCTATTCCCTGCAGGAACCATCTACCTGTGGATCTTCTGGCCCAGCTTCACCTCCACCACCACTGTCCACGACAGTGCTGAGAACTGGGCAGTGCTCAACACCTACTTCTCTCTGGTGGCGAGTACTGTTGCCACCTTCATCCTCTGTCCTGTCCTCTACGAGGAGAGCACCCCACGGATGGTAGGTCCTCTCCAGGGACAAACCCAAGCTTCATGCCCTGCCCTACAGGAATGGTGAGCCTGAACATACCCAGGACAAAAGGGGAGGCTTGTGTGGCTTTCTTAGGTTCATTAACAAGCAGTTTGATCCCTGAAGGAGACAGCCCCCCCTCCCAGTCCCATGCTGATGCTCTCCACGGAGCCAGTTCCCCATACCATGTCCTGCTCCATCAGGTTCAGATCCAGGACGCCACCCTGGCTGGCATGGCCGTGATGGGTATGGCTGGGGAGATGCTGGTCACCCCCTTTGGGGCCCTCATCGCAGGGTTTCTGGTTGGCCTGATCTCCCCACTTGGCTTCAGATTCTTCACGGTGAGTCACCTTGGGACAGCCAAGGACACTGATCCCAGGTCAGGGGACCATCTGCTCCCAAACCTGCAAACACAGTGCTGCAGCACAGCCTCCCTGGGCAGCTGACCCCCAGCCCAATACCAGCTCTTCCCCCTGCTCTCCCCAGCCCGTTCTACGCTCCAGGCTGAAAATCCAGGACACGTGTGGGGTCCACAACGTCCACGGGCTGCCTGGGATACTGGGGGCCTTGCTGGGGACACTGCTGACGCTGCTGGCCACTGCAGACACTTACGGTGACAGGTGAGAGGAGCCAGAATCAGGGATGCCAGTGACTTGATGTACCAAGCTGGGGCCACCACAACCCCTGAGATCAGGGCTGCTCCACTCACTGTTACAGCACCCCTTTAGAAGACATTACCCAGAGCCATGGGCCTGTGACAAGCTCCCAAAAGCCTGTCCCCTCTCTGGCTTGCAGGCTGGAGCTTGTGTTCCCACTGGTGACCCCGGGCAGCCGGACAGTCACTTACCAAGCACTCATGCAGCTCAGTGCCCTGCCCCTCACCCTGCTGCTTGCAGCCCTCGGGGGCTGGCTCACAGGTGAGTTTTGCCTCCAAGGCAATGGGTTGGAGGGTGCGAGGGGAATTGATGGATTTGGGGGGAAAGGGCAGGAGCAGCCCCAAAGCAAAGCATTCCCATCAGGCAGGCCTGGCAGAGCCCGGTGGTGCTCAGCACTGTGCAAACCAGTGGAGGCCAGAGCTCCCTGCGAGGCTGGGACTACCCACGGGGCTGGGACTACCCACGGGGCTGGGACTACCCATGGGGCTGGGACTACCCACGGGGCTGGGACTACCCATGGGGCTGGGACTACCCACGGGGCTGGGACTACCCATGGGGCTGGGACTACCCACGGGGCTGGGACTACCCATGGGGCTGGGACTACCCACGGGGCTGGGACTACCCATGGGGCTGGGACTACCCACGGGGCTGGGACTACCCATGGGGCTGGGACTACCCACGGGGCCGGGCTCCCCTCGGGGTTGAGGCTCCCCCCGGGGTTGAGGCTCCCCCCTTGTCCCTGTGCTCCCTCGTGTCCTGGTGCTGTCCCCGTGTCCCCACTCCCCCCCGTGTCCCGGTTGTCCCCATGTCCCCGCTCCCCCCCTTGTCCCGGTGCTACCCCCGTGTCCTGATTGTCCCCATGTCCCCGCTCCCCCCCGTGTCCCCGCTCCCCACCGTGTCCCGGTGTTCCCCCCGTGTCCCGGTTGTCCCCCCGTGTCCCGATTGTCCCCGTGTCCCCACTCCCCCCGTGTCCCGGTGCTCCCCCCGTGTCCTGATTGTCGCCATGTCCCCGCTCCCCCCCGTGTCCCGGTTGTCCCCATGTCCCCGCCGCCCGCCCGGCGCTGCCGCTAGATGTCAGGGGAAGCCCGGGCAGCGGCCGCCCCGCTCTCAGACGCCCTCGCCCGGCTTTCGGCATCCTCAGGTAAACTCCTGAAAACCAAGCTGCTGAGGGGCTCCCCGGACGCGCAGTCCATGGAAAACAGCGTCTTCTGTGAGGTAAAGCTGGGGAATTGTTGGTAAAAAGGGGTTTATGGGTCTCAAGCAGCAGCAGGGCTTGGATGTTTCCCCCCCCCAGCCGCTGGTACCCTCCCTCGTCTTGCAGCAGCAGGAGAGCTGCAGTAAATTCCCCTGGTCATGGACTCATAGAGTGCCTGACTCATTTTAGGCTGGAAAAGTCCCCAAAAAGCACCAGATCCAACCGTTCCACTATTGCCAAGGCCACCTCTAAACCATATCCCCAGGGGCCACATCCACGAGTCTGTTAAATGCCTCCAGGGACGGTGACTTTACCACTCCCCTGGGCAGCCTGTGAATTCAGTGAAATGCAGTGAAATTCAGTCAAATTCAGTCAAATTCAGTCAAAGAACTTCCCCCAGTATTCCATCTAAACCTTCCTGGTGCAACTCGAGGCATTTTCTCCTGCCCCCACCCAGCCCTGATGTGCCCTGAGTGGGGCCCATTTCTGCCCCTCTCCCTGTCTCTGGTGCAGGTGGCCGAGGAAGGCTGTGACCCCGGGGCAAGCAGCAAAGAGCTGGGCACCAGCACCTTGGTGTGATGACCACGAAGCCCCGGTGAGGTCCTGCACCACCCATGGTCTGTCACTGCCAATGCCAGCGGGCTTCTGGCAGCCTGAACTTCCCCAGAGCAGCCTGCTCTGGAGACAAGCCGTGCTTGTTCCCATCTGGGAGCCAGCTCCTGGTCCCAAACGTTTTGGGAACAGCTGGGCATCCACAGGACTTTGCAGGGTGAAGAGGTGCTGCAGTGTCCCGGTGCTTGTTGTGAGAGCAACACGGCTCCTGCTCCCAGAGTCACCTTGGGGTGCCCAGGCTTGGCTCAGACACTTCCCCTCTCTGCTCCTTGCCTCAGTTTCCCCATCAGCTGCTCTCTGAAGGAAGGCAATGGAGGGGAGAAGGGGTGATTTTTTTGGGGAGTGGACACAGGAGGCTCAACAGAAAGCAACAAAGACTTTGTACAGACACTTTTGCACACAACAATTAAAAACCATGGATTTTTTTGTAACTTCAGGATTTGACCCTGAATTCTCATGGCCACCCCCCTAGTTCTGCTGGCTGTTTCCTTGAGGTGTCATCCAGGGAGAAAGGCAAAGCCCCTCCAACTTCTCTCGTACCCCAGACACTGATGCCCATTTGTTTGGTTTCATGGTTTTCCCCAGCACAGGGGTGACCCCTGCCTTCCCCTGGCCACTCATCACCTTGCACTGGGGCTCCTCTCGACAAATAAATGCCCCCAGCACTCAGCCCCACTGTGAGAGAAATGCTCCTCTGGCCATTGCAGCCTCAGGACCCCCAGCAGCCACATCCCCCTCCAAAGAGGCTGTCACCCCACCTGGGAGCAAATTCGAACACGCTGGGAATGTGGCAGCTCGATTGAACCCGGAGAGGGTCCTGCAGCAATGGGAACAGGGCACAGCCCCAGAGGACTCCTAGAGGGGCGATGGTGGATGTGCCGGGGGTCCCCGATGGAGGGGACACCTTGGGGGTCTCATCTCCCATGAGCCTGGCGTGGCTGCCGGATATTTTCACACTTCCAGTGCCAGACTCCGGCACTCACCATGCGCGATTCCCCCAGGCACGGGTGTCCCCAGCTGGTCCCCATCCCTGGGGAGGGGACCACAGCCCCACCCCACGCAGAGGGGACAGGGTGTGCAGGGCCAGCAAAGCGAAGTTTGGGGCAAACGCTTTGCTACCCAACCAAAGTAGCCGCAGGTGCTGTTGGAGCACACAGGTCTCCTTTAAGTGACTGAACAAAAAAAATATAAAAAAGTTAATGAAAAGCATTTGTTTGCAGGTGACCATAAAACATCACTTTAAAACACAGCAGTAAGTCAAAACTTCTTGCTTTTATATGAGTCAAACTATAACTTTTCCCACTTTCGTTGTCCGTTATAGAAAACTGGTGAAATCAGCACATTAAATGCTTTGGTGTCACTGAAATTCCATGACAAAACGCAGAGAAGTGGGTCACCCATCTCCGTTTCTGCTGCCACTGCAGGCGCTGGGGAAGGTTTCTGCAGGGACCGCAGCCCCACTCCTCGCTCAGGCGGCAGGGGAGGACACGTCCCTGCACCCATGTCCATGTGACACGCCAGAGGAGAGGAGGGATGCGAGAGGGAGAAGGGGCACGAGGGCTGGAGCCCCAGCAAGGGGGTTCCTGGGCTCCAGTGCTCACCCCTAGCCTGAGGTGCAGGGCTAACCCCAGCCCCACGCCACCCCCTCCCACCTCACCTCCTTCCCAGCCCTCTCCTCCCCTTTCCCAGGCAGCCCCCTTCTCCTTTTTGATCTCCTCGCAGTACATTTCAAAAGCAACCCACTGCGACGGGAAGAAAAGCCCCTCCAGTGAGATCATTGCGAGACCCCCAGACGTCGGGGTCGGGTGTGAAATGGACCTCCCTCCTTCTCCCGTCGCCCGGCCCCCGGCCCCTCTGAAAGGCTGTTATGTTTTGTAATGGGATTAAGGGAGCCCTGCGCCCTCCCCACGCCCGTTCCCCGGCGTGCCCGGCCCGCTCTCCCCGCAGTTGTTGGAGCGCGGCGGCCGCGGGCGCGGAGCTCTCGGTGCCGGGAGCCGGGGACGGCGAGAGCCTGAAAGGTTTAGTCAGCGAACAAATTGCTTCTCTGTAGGGGCCGTTTTCTTCCCAAGTTGAACATAATGATGGCAGTTTGAGGAACAGATGGTGCAGCTAAGCAGATAATCCCGCCGGCCCCGGGCTCGGGGAGAGGCAGCGCCGGCTCTGCCCGCAGCGCCCGGGGCCGTCCCGGGACGGGAGGGTGGCGGTGGTGTCGAGGTGACGATCGCACCCGACCGAGCACCAGGAGCTTGGGCGAGCACCCCTCCTTCACACCTCTTCTGCCTCGGGGGTGGTTTGGGTGCCAGACTCCGCTCGTGCCTCAGTTTCCCTGCAGGGAGCCTTCTGCTCCGTCACTTTTCAAGGCGGGGCTCACCTCCGGATCGCAGCCTGACCTGGGAAGATGTAATGTGAGACACAACAGCTTTCCCTGCACTGGAGCAAAGGACAGCTGAGAACAGCTCATTTTACCCTCATTTTCCTATTTTGCCTCTCTCTCCAACAGTATTCAGGATGTGGAAAGAGCTGAAGAAATTCCACCAGCTCGCAGTGTGCCCATGTCAGGCTCAGGGATGCCGGGATCTTCCTGCTAAATGAGTTTTTATTTCAAATACATCAGCGGGAAAAGTCCAAGCCCCCACAGACACGATGTAGGCAGGGCAGACACGTCTGCGTGGATAAAGCCCTGCCCGCCTGGCGATGCCACACTGGCACCAGGGACCCTTCCCCATGTCACGGGGCTCTCAGAGTCTTCAGGACACACTCCAGGCACACTGCACCGCATGCCTGTGTCCGGCAGGTTTGTTTAATTCATGTCCCCCCCTTCTCCAGCCATGTCCCCTGAGAGTCCCGGCTCTGACAGCTCCCCTGCCCTCTCCGTGGCAGCCCAGCTGCCAAGAGACCTGCCTAATTCACCTCTTGCTAATGCAGGAGCTCAATCAGCTGCTCGAAGGGTGTTTTACAAGTCAAAGCAATAACAACATCCCTCTGCTACAGCTGGGGAAACTAAGGCACACAAAGAGGTGCCCAAGAGTCCATTGGAATTAGAAGCAGGACAAAGCCTGGGCTCCCCGAGCTCCCGGCGTACATGTCCTTACACATCCACAGCCCCCAGCACCTCCCCCCCACCCAGAGCAGCTGATGCCGTGTGCTGTTTGATAGAAAGCCAGCTAATCATCTTTCCCACCTTCGTTAGAGTGTGAATCGTTATCCCAGCGACACCTGTAAAGCTCCTTGTCAGACAAGGCTGGTGCACACATCTAATAATGGGCACCATATGGGAGAGGGAAGGCTCGAAGAGGAGCAGGGGCCCGACCATCCCCACGCTGAACAAAGAACAGTGTGACAGCTTCCCAGTACGGGCCAGTATCACCAGCACTGGTCTGAAACACCAGCAACAAGGAGAGAGCCCAGGCAGAGGTGGCAGTGGAGGAAGAGCCACCACTCATGGCACTAAACAGCTCGATAACTCCCCAGGGAGCCCTGCCCTTTGGAAAAGGACCTGGCAAAAGTGACAAGTGAAGGTTAAAGGCAGGAGAGCCATCAGCCCTGCTCACCACAGCGTGCCCAAAGCCTGGGACTGGCACCCCAAATCCTCTGAAGCACATCCCACCGTGCCTTGGAGCCTGTGCTCACTGCCAGCCTTGCAGTCCCACAGGTCAGATGGTGACAGGGAGGACACGATGTGAATTAGAGACAGGTCCCTGCACTTGGGCTCATCCAGAGCCCCCCAGGCTTCCTCCCTGACCCTAAACTTTGGGGGCAGAGCTCAGCCCCTCTGCCAACCCACCCCCCAGTGGAAGTCCCCACTGCCACTGCAATTACAGAGCCAAGTTTTCAAGTCCCCATTCATTGCCAGCGGCGTAATGAGCCCCTGGGCACCATCAGCAGGGGCAAAGCAATTAAAATCCCTGCCGTGGTAGCTGCGTGGGTGGCTCTGGTGGGGGCTGCTGCCAGTGCCTGGTTTGGGGCGAGTGGGCACTGCCAGGCCAGGCAGGGCCTTAGATTGCTGCATGTCCCTGGGGGTGAACAATCGACTCGTTCTTCCCTGGGTTCAAAGAATAATAAAATAAAATAAAGAGGGAATAAAGGCCCCAGTAAAGCTGGGAGTCAAGTTTATTTACAAACTGAGTATGAAGTGAAGGGCCGGGAACAAAGGTGTTATGTAAGGGACAGTCACTAAGGGGCTCTTTACCCACGCTAATTGCCACTTGCTCCACGATATCCATTTATCTCGCAGCTGAAATGGCCTCCTCAGGCTTGTGGGTTCAAGCAGTGCTTGTTTGCAACGCTGCCCAGTGCAATTAGTGCACCAGCACAGGGTGCAGTCCCACCACCCAAAGCCATCAGGAAGCCTCACACCTCCCTGAGAAGTGGGATCATGCCCGCAGTGGGTGGATGTGGCTTGGCAGGGAGAGGTGCTGCCTCGCGTGGGACTTTGGTGTCAGTTGTGTAACAGGGAGGGACAACGGGGCTTAGTTCTGCAGCAGGGACCTCGAGGTCATCCCTACCTAGCCTGGGTGGTGAAGGGCAGAAAACCATCATGGGATTCCTGTGGAGGCAGCTGCGAGAATGACGGCTCTGAAAGGAGAATGAGGTGTGGAGAGGATGAACAGAACCCGCTGTTTGTGATGGTGGTTCCGAGGGGTTCAGCTGGAAACTGCCCTCGGGTGCAAAAGCCCAAAAGGCAGAAACCAGAATAAAAACCACCACGGGGAGAAGAAGCTGCCATGAGTGCTGCAGGGCCTTCCTGCTCCCATCCCTGCCCTCACCCTGGGCGTGTCCAGGGGCACAGGGACCACAGAGGGACCCTTAGCTCTGCTCCAACCAAACTGTCAGGAAAGGGAGGAAGATGAGGTGGCAGCACCCCCAGGAGCCGAGAGGTCAATTTTATTGACAAACTGCCTCTTGAATGGAGCACGGGGAACAATGCCGGCCCCAGCCCGGGTCAATCAGGACTGTGTAAAGCAAGGGGCCAGCTCCAGTGGCCCCGGGAGAGCCCTCCAGGCGAGTGCCCTTTACCAACGTGTTTGCACAACCTCTGACCCCTTCTTTTGGGGTTTAATTGAAATCCCAGCTTGGTGACAAATTGGCATGACCAGCGGGCTGGAGGCTGGGAGGGTGATGTGGAAGCAATGCAGGAAAGTCCCCTCCCTGCTCCAGCAGTGACCGACCTGCCCAAGTTTTAATCACACCCTGCTCCTTCTTCTGATCCTGTGTCACTGCCCAAAGGCCACCAACACGGGCTTGGGACAGGCAACTGCCCGAGCCCACCAGCAGCTCTGTCTCAACAGACAGGAGCAGACAAGCACTGTCTGAGGTGTGTGAGTCTTGGACTGAAGCCTCCTTGGACTGGAATGCTCTGATGCTTTGTTAATCACAGAG